CTATTTTCCGATGTAGCATCTAGGCTGCAGGACAAAAGAAAGTACACACCATGTTTGATGATGGCTAAAAATAAGACAACCATCTGTTATTCGATGATGGTGTATTTGATTTGGGTATAGTTGTCTGGATCTTAAGTTTGCCATAATTCGGCGACTGTTTCCAGCCCAGTAATTAAAGTTTTAGTAACGTTTGTAAGTTTTAAGTCAATTCCAATTCTCAGCTGAATACTTTTCTTTCCCCGACAGTTTATATTGTCAAAAAATGCGAAGGTTACAACGGCTAGACGTGTTAGTATACAAAATTTGAAAATAGTGTTACCTTGTTTCCTATTTTAGACAGCCTTTGTTGCAATGGCTTTTGCAGAAGTCTTTGATAAAATGGAGAAGGGACACTTCAAAATGAGGGACCGCTTAATACACATGTCTAGTTGGGTAAGTTTCTATTTTTGAAAGATCTATAAATCTTTGCGGATTCCATTGCCACGCTTGGGGAGATTGGGGTTAGATACAGAAGGTCAACCGAAGGTCCGAGGGTGGTCAGTGAAGGCAAAGGACAGCGTATGCTGACAGGAGGTGGCTATCAAAGCCTGTGTGATGTACATATCTAGACAGGTTTGTGTATGGCGTCCACGTCACTGAAGGGTCAACATCACCCCTTCTCAGTCAACACCATACCCCCTCTCAATCAACTCAAACGTTGACCTCCCTTATCTTCAGGTGTCCTGAGATCTGAGGGACCTTCCTGCTTCGTTTGTAATGTTGGACCTCGCGAAGTTGTCGACAAACATGCTTTCAATTTATCTACATGTTGTGCTTTCAAAATTACGGGTGAGGAATGTTCTTATCTAAAAATACTCCCTGAACTGCCCTCTGTTTGAGAGATTAAAAATCGCGACTTCGCCATTTATGGACAATGTTATCATTGTTAAAACATACATGGTGTACGAAATATTAAACAAACAATTATGTATGTGTGACTTGTACAAACACAACCGCAACTTTCTTCTAAAATTCCGAAGCAACTTATAAGTTAAGCAATCTGTCTCCCGCCAAAAGCAACTGGGGGTCCCGTGTACAGGTAAAGGGAGGTAACTCGGCAATGGAGTGTGTATGTGATTTGTCCTCTAAGTTAAGCAATCTGTCTCCCACCAACGGCAACTGAAATCCCGTGTACAGGTAAAGGGAGGTAACTCGGTAATGTAGTCGCGATGTGATATGTCCTCTACAGGTTGTTTAGTTGTTTTTGCGACTTCATTCTTCAGCGGAATTCTGCTATATATGTACAGATGGCAATGTCTCCGCATCTGATGACCAACTGTTTGGTAGGGCGGTAAGAGGAGGTGATGTAACCGAGTGGTTAAAGCTTCGTTCGTTACGCCAAATGTCTGAGTTCGAATCCCCTCCGGGATACAATGTGTGAGCCCCGCTGTGATAATATTTGAATATTGCTAAAAAAAGACGTGATACACCACTCACACACTGTTTGGCTTTATGAAATATGCCAAATTGGCTCTGAAGACCAAATACTTATACAAATATATAACACTACCAAACGTAATTTATAACACTACCAAAAGTAATTTATAACACTACCAAACGTACTTGTACTGCAAGGCTACAACACTGCTCTTTACCTCCACCATTGCTGCTGCTACTACTACTACTACTACTACTACTACTGATACTACTACTACTGACCCGTATATAATTGAATATCACTGAATTTTCTGTCCCTTTTGAAACTAATGTGATTGACAAGATTCATGAAAAACATGGCAAATATGCAGACCCCACTTTCGAAAGTTCCAAGTTGTCCGACTTTTTCTCGGTGCCTTAGGATTGGTACCTCCCAATCTGTTGACTAACAATGGGAGAGTACCTGGGTTTGCTACCAGGAATACAGCTCGTTGACCATCTTGGTAATGCAGAAGGTTGCAGTGTTGGGAAGTCTTAACATTCTCCGAAAAGTTCTGGGTGGGTGGGTTCATATCCCAATTGCGTGAGTCAATGCTCAAAATGTCAATCGACCCGTGAAGATCCGGGGGAGAATAGGTCTTCACCAACCCACGCTTGCCGTAAAAGGCGACTATGCTTGTCGTAAGAGGCGACTAACGGGATCGAGTGGTCAGGCTCACTGACTTGGTTGATGCATGTCATCGATCCCAATTGCGTGGATCGATGGTCTTGATGTCAATCACTGGATTGTCTGGTCCAGACTCGATTATCTACAGGCCGCCGTCATATAGCTGGAATATTGCTGAGTGCGGCGTAAAACAACAATCAACAAACCAACATATTCCTATTAGCCACGTAGTGTTTGTACACATTCATTTATTCTGTTGTTTCAGGTGTTCCTTTTTCACTGCTACTGAATAAAGTTTGTTGTTTTACACCGCAATATTCCAGCTTTTTGACGGCGATATGTAAATAGTCGAATCTGGACCAGACAATCCAGAGATTTACATCATGAGCATCGATCTACGCAAATTGGAAACTATGACAGGCATCAACCAACTCAGCGAGACGGACCACCCGATCCCCTCATTCGCTTCTTACGATAAGCATGGGATGCTGGAGACCAGTTCAAGCCCGGCTCTTCTACTTGATAAGGGGCGGTCGGGTAGCCTAGTGGTTAAAGCGTTCGCTCGTCACGCCGAAGACCCGGGTTCGATTCCCGACATGGGTACAATGTGTGAAGCCCATTTGTGGTGTCCCCCGCCGTGATATTGCTGGAATATTGCTAAAAGCGGCGTAAAACCATACTCACTCACTCTACTTGATAATGAGTCGAATACCAAAGTCACAAGCAGGTTATTTTATGGGCCGAGTTGTACAGCACTATAGAGTTGCAGAATGATCTAATTCAAGTGTGGTTGATTTATAATACATTTTGAAAATCACGTTCAAGTTTATCGTGGACCAAAATGATTTATATGGGGCATGTCGTACCCCTACAGTCAAGATAAGACCATAGTAAATCGTGTCAGTAAAGGCACAAAAAAAGCCTAGAAAAAGAACAAATGTATTACCACTGACGTCATATTTGATATTGCCTTCAGCCTGGAGCGTTAATTCGTTGCTGTTGCTACGTACAGTAATCAGTTAATCTGGGTGATTTCAACAGGAGCGCTACCGTCCTGACTGATTAAAAACCGTCTTCACCCGATCAGGAATTCGAAATTGGTGCCATTGAATGAAGGCTTAATACTACCCTTTACATTGAGGAATGACTTCGTCGTTTAATTAAACCTTATGAAGCAGTGATGAGTGGTGACTCTTTCAACGATAGGAATTTTTCATGATAGAATTGACCAACGATAGAAAGTCTTGGCTTCTGAGAATTCGTATCCCTGTTGACAGCTAATCTTTCAGGCCGCATTTTCCCCCTTTTTAAAAACTTTTTTTTGTATGATTGATAAAGCCATTGATTACTTGAAAAAACTTATGATGACTTGTCTCCCACGTGATGTCTCCAGTGACATACGGGAATTGTTGCGTTGAAAGTATTGATTACAAAAAGAAAACGTTCAAGATGTAGCTTCTTTTCTGGACATTAGTATGTGTCTAATCTAATAGATCAAGCTTATGTGTTGATCACTACGTCCAGAATATAACACGTCGCCCGTCATTTGATCAATAAACGAAAGGCAAAACTGTCGGATCGTGTCACGCGGTGAACAGTCCTGAAAGAGTAACCTCCCTTGCTGATATTGAACGGTGCCAGGGAAAGCGAAGGTGTTGTCAGCTTCCCGTCTCGTGTTGCCGTTCTTGTTTAAAATTTGATTGTGTGAGAAGTCAAAATTAATACACATTAAATAAGGGGATGTACACGAGTTGTGTTTGTCCCCGAAAGCTATCGATCCATTTTGTGTTATTTACCACTGGTTGAGGATAAGAATCTGATCAGATCGTCACAATGTTTTGCTATCAGTAATTGTGTATCAAAAAGTAAATAATATTTCATCAATATATCAAGGGGCGATCGGGTAGCCTAGTGGTTAAAGCCGTCGCTCATCACGCCGAAGACCCGGGTTCGATTCCCAACATGGGTACAATGTGAAGCCCATTTCTGGAGTCACCCGCAGTGATATTGCTGGAATATTGCTAAAAGCGGCGTAAAACCATACTCACTCACTCAGTATAACAACGTATGACACCAAGGACTGGCTTCATACTGGGAACTGAATCCGGCTTCTCGGGTCGATAATCGAATGCTTTGACCGCTGAGCTAGCCCTCACCCATGCATTAAAGAAAAACCTATTTAAAACCGGCTTTTCCATATATCCGACTTCGTTAAAGGCGAAACTGACTTAACTACTGTCAATAATCAGCAGGCTTTGCGTCCAATTGATCAATATTTAGGTAATGTAAAGAAAGATAAGGAGACCCTTTGGCCATTTTTTTTCTGTGTATTTTTTTTTTGTTTTTTTTTGTTTTTTTCGCTTTACGAATTTTGGGCCCAAAGCATCAGGTCGGTAGATCGAAAAAAAAATAAAAAATAAAAAAATCAATTTCAAATAATGTTTTCATATTTTCTCAAAATGTTAAGAAGGTAGAAAAAGGGGTAGGTTTAATATAGGTATTTAAAAAAAATAAATTTATTGATAGAGACCCTTTAAAAAAATCGATTAAAGGGAAAAGTTTCAAAATTGTCTCGCCTAACTTCTTCGTGCAACCGTGATTTGGGACACTACACATCGACAGGAGAACATCACAGACACACAACGTAGCAACCTCGGCTCGATTGAAGGAGAATTTAAGCAGCTGGCACCTTCATCTTTAATGTTGTCTGCTACATCCACATCAAGTTGAACACAACGTCATATGTCGCAATCATGCATAATACAGATGATGGTACGTTGTACTGTTTAGAAAGTCAACGTTAAAAATACATATACAGTGGTATAGCACCGAACGATGAAGCACAAATTATCCATACGTATATACTATCCAGGCGTTTTCCTCCGTCATAGTGCATCACCCGTGGTTATTTGGTAGCAATCATCCGCACAAATTCTGAAACAGACACGGGAACATTTCTGTAAGTACCTGAACGTGTTACCCATTTTATGTCAATCTCATTAAAATCAGATCTTAGTTCTAGCTACCGCTAAACAAAGATCTGAGGACATCCCATTACGGGTCACGTCAGACCGACCAATGGAATGACCAATCAGAAGGCAGCTTTCTCGTGCTTTACGGCACTAATTTCAAATTGGCGACTACGCTTCAAAACATATTTTGACAAATTCTCGATTAAAAATTTGAAACCTGAACAAAAGAACATTCTGGAATGGCTAATAGATGGCCTAGATTGTATGGATTCAGTCGTTAAACCCGTAACTATCGTTCGGAATAAAGTTTTCAATGCAAGGTTGCATGATTAGAAATCACATTCCGACTGTCACTTTCATAATCTGGTAAGCGACGCTCTGATTGGTCGGATGAAAGGTCGTTCTGACGTGACCCGTAATGGGATGTCTTCAGATCTTTGTTTAGCGGTAGCGAGAACTAAGGTCTGATTTTCATGAGATTGATTTTACGTCAACACAAAACAAGGCTGTTAACTCCCAAGATGAAGTCTGACCCCCGAGCAATGTGCGGTAATACCAAGAAGCATCGTTTGTGGAAGGATGAATGGAAATGCATTTGTTCTCTGTCCGTGTTTTCCTTTTGCATATTCTGATATTTCGTGCACGAATTCAGTTGTCTTAGATTCATTATGTGAGCTACGTACGCAACGTACGCTACACATGTTACTTGTCGATCCTGTGTGTATCACGCGCCACGTAGGAACGCTTCTCACTGAAATTTCTCAACATAAACTGAGGCGCAAAAGAAACTACACCTATCAGTTAATTTTGTCATCTTTGATTTTCAGTTTAAAATATCCTAAGTTAGCGATATAATATCTAGAAAATTAACCGTACTGTCGCTTAGTGGACACTCAAAGATTACTTTTACATGCTTCTATGTTTTAAAATATAATTTGATTTTTAACTTTTTTTTAAAATCGCACATATACAACTTCTGATGAGTATCTTAGACATTTTATCTTTGAAAATCAATAAATTTGCTGTTTCCGGCACATATTTATGGTAGGGGTCATGTAGTTGAAAATTCATTTCTTACCCAAGTCTTCACTGAACCAGTATATTTTTACACACAATTACCAAGCCACGGGCTACTTTTAACAAACTGTTGCAGGAATATGTGATGGTTAAATATGCAGAATCAAATTAACCACAGTCCTTTCAATTTTCAATTACATATAAAACAACATCGGTATTCTTTCTTTAGCCCCTTTCTATTTTGGCTGCATCACTTTTTGAGTGTGTAAAAGTGTTGATTCTTTTCGTGATCCTGTAAAATGAATCTAGATAACCCAACATCTCTGTTTCGATTGCTCTCAGTGCCCGGCGTCTTTGAACAGGCGAAATAATAAAAAGGTTGCTAAAGAAGAAGAACAACAACACCAATTATAATAATAATAATAATAATAATAATAATAATAATAATAACACCTGTTGTGCCACAATACACCACTGACAGACAACTGTGCAGCAACAATGTCACATCTGCCACACAACAACACTGTCACACCAATGCATTAGACATCACATTACAACACCACAACACTACCACACCGATGCACTAAAACACAACACATCCACTCTAAAACACTGTCACAACAATGCACTAAACACACAACATAACCACAACACAACACTGTCACACCAATGCACTAATCACAACGCATTGCCACACTACAACACCGTCACACATATGCATTAAACACACCACTGCCACACTACAACACTGTCACACCAATGCACTAAACACAATACATTACCACACTACAGCACTGTTACACAAATGCACTAAACGCAAGACATTACCACAATAAAACACTGTCACACCAATGCACTAAAAACACAAAATTACCAAACTACAACACTGTCACACCAATGCACTAAACACACAACATTTCCACACTACAACACTGTCACACCAATGCACTAAACATACGACTTTACCACACTTCACCACTGTCACACCAATGCACTAACGCACAACATTACCACACTACAACAATGTCACACCAATGCACTAAACACACAACATTACCACACTACAACACTGTCACACCAATGCACTAAACACACAACATTACCAAACTACACCAATGTCACACCAATGCACTAAACACACAACATTACCAAACTACAACACTGTCACACCAATGCACTAAACACACCACCATTACCACACTACACCACTGTCACACCAATGCACTAGACACAAAACATTACCAAACTACAACACTGTCACACCAATGCACTAAACGCATCACATTACCACACTACAACACAAATGCACTATACACACCACATTACCAAACTACAACACTGTCAAATCAGTGCACTAAACACACCACATTAACACACTACAACACTGCCACACCAATGCACTAAACACACAACAATACCACACTACATCACTGTCACATCCATGCACTAAACATACCACATTATCACACTACAACACTGTCCACACCAATGCACTAAACACACCACATCACCACACTACACAACTATGACACCAATACACAAAACACTACACTGCCACACCACAACACTTTCACGCCAATGCACTAAACACAACACATTACCACACTACAACACTGTTACACAAATGCACTAAACGCAACACATTACCACACTAAAACACTGTCACACCAATGTACTAAACACACAACATTACCACACTTCACCACTGTCACACCAATGCACTAAACACACAACATTACCAGACTACAACACTGTCATACCAACGCACCAAACACACAACATTACCACACTACAACACTGTCACACCAATGCACTAAACACACCACAATTACCAAACTACAACACTGTCACACCAATGCACTAAACACACCACATAACAAGACTACAACACTGTCACACCAATGCACTAAACACACCACCATTACCACACTACAACACTGTCACACCAATGCACTAAACACACCACAATTACCAAACTACAACACTGTCACACCAATGCACTAAACACACAACATAACAAGACTACAACACTGTCACACCAACGCACCAAACACACAACATTACCACACTACAACACTGTCACACCAATGCACTAAACACACCACAATTACCAAACTACAACACTGTCACACCAATGCACTAAACACACCACATAACAAGACTACAACACTGTCACACCAATGCACTAAACACACCACCATTACCACACTACAACACTGTCACACCAATGCACTAAACACACCACAATTACCAAACTACAACACTGTCACACCAATGCACTAAACACACCACATAACAAGACTACAACACTGTCACACCAATGCACTAAACACACCACCATTACCAGACTACAATACTGTCACACCAATGCACTAAACACACCACCATTACCAAACTACAAAACTGTCACACCAATGCACTAAACACACCACATTACCACACTACAACACTGTCACACCAATGCACCAAACACACAACACATCCACTCTAAAACGGTGTCACAACAATGCACTAAACACACCACATAACCACAACACAACACTGTCACACCAATGCACTAATCACAACGCATTGCCACCCTACAACACTACCACACATATGCATTAAACACACCACTGCCACACTACAACACTGTCACACCAATGCACTAAACACAATACATTACCACACTACAACACCGTCACACATATGCATTAAACACACCACTGCCACACTACAACACTGTCACACCAATGCACTAAACACAATACATTATCACACTACAGCACTGTTACACAAATGCACTAAACGCAAGACATTACCACAATAAAACACTGTCACACCAATGTACTAAACACACCGCATTTCCACACTACAACACTGTCACACCAATGCACTAAACATACCACATTACCACACTACACCACTGTCACACCAATGCACTAAATACACAACATTACCACACTACACCACTGTCACACCAATGCACTAAACACACAAAATTACCACACTACAACACTGTCACACCAATGCACTAAACATACCACATTACCACACTACAACACTGTCACACCAATGCACTAAACATACCACATTACCACACCACAACACTGTCACACCAATGCACTAGACACACCACCATTACCACACTACAACACTGTCACACCAATGCACTAAACACACCACCATTACCAAACTACAACACTGTCACACCAATGTACTAAACACACAACATAACAAGACTTCAACACTGTCACACCAATGCACTAAACACATTACCACACTACAACACAAATGCACTTATCACACCACCATTACCAGACTACAACACTGTCACACCAATGCACTAAACACACCACATTACCACACTACAGCACTGTCACACCAATGCACTAAACACACCACATTACCACACAACATCACTGTCATACCAATGCACTAAACACTACACTGCCACACTACAACACTGTCATACCAATGCACTAAACACTACAGTGCCACACATCAACACTGTCACACCAGTGCACTAAACACACCACATTACCACGCAACATCACTGTCATACCATGGCACTAAATGCACATTACCTCACTACAACACTGTCACATCAATGCACTAAAGACCACATTACCACAACACAACACTGTCACACCAATGCCTTAAACACTACATTGCCACACTACAACACTGTCACACTAGTGCACTAAACACAACATGACCACACTACAACAGTGTCACACCAATGCACTAAACACTACAGTGCCACACTACAACACTTTCACACCAGTGCACTAAACACACCACATTTCCACACTACAACTTTCACTTTCAAATACACCTCCTGCCAGCATCCAAGGCCCCCTCTCACCCACCAAGATCCTCTCTCACCCACCAAAATCGCCCTCCCACTTTCTGAGAGCCGCTGACCTTCGATAACAAGCCTGACACCTTCCGGTGTCCAATATCACTCTACAAAACTTCCAATACCGCTTTTCATCCACCAAAATATCCCTCCCACCATCTGAGAACCCCTCAGGCTCCAAATCGAGTTCCTCCTCTTCAAAGATCCCTATCACCCTCCAAAAGCACCCTCTCGACCTTCCCTCCCAAAACGACTCCTTCTAACTCCCACCAAAGCAACCTCTTATTTTCCAATTACCCCTTTTCAGCCTTCAAACATCCATCCACCATTCATTACCTCTCTCACCCCCCAAATCGATCCTTCGTTCCAAGGCCCCTATCACCTTCCAGAACTACCCTCCCACCTTCCAAGACAACTCTCATCTTCCAAGACACCTTCCCACCTCCCGTGATCCTTCCCTCCAACTCCCCAAAGCACCCACTCAGCTTCCAATATCCCCCTTTATCCTCCAAAACATCCTTCCACCTTCCAAGACAACTTGCATCATCCAAGACACCTTCCCACCTTCCAGGACCACCCAACTCCCAACTCCCTCCAAAATCACACCTTCCAAGACTTCTTCTAACTCTCCAAAGCTCACCCACTTCCAAAAACCCTTTTCATGCTCCAAAACACCCTGCCACCCCCAAGAGCCCCTTCCAACTCTCTAAAACCACCCCATCCCACCCACTTCCAAGCTGCCCTTCCAACCTTCGTAGTTGATCCTGCCGTCACCGTCCACGTCCGCCTCAATGATCATCTCGTTGATTTCCTGCTCGGTGACCTTGTGACCCTCCAAAGACACCATGACCTGCCGGAGCTCGGATTTACTGATGAAGCCGTTATTGTCTTTATCAAACACTTTAAATGCCCTCAACATTTCACTGTCCGACTGCTGTTCTTCCACCGTGTCAGCCATCATCGTTGCAAACTCGATAAACTCAATTTTGCCGTTTTCTAAAGAAAATAATCTTAGTGTATTTTTATTATTCCTTTTCTTCAACGTTATTCAGCAGCGTATTTTGATTTTGTAATTATCTAGATTTGTGAATTTGGGTTATAATTTCAATAATTTTTATCCATATATTGTTGATATTTTTGTAATTTCTCTTTGAATCACAGTTGTCAGAAACGTTAAAACACTGGCAATGCAAGCCAATCATAAACGTCAAAAACACCGTAATGGGTATCCCGATACCCTTACTGCAGATACGATTGTAAAAATGAGACCTATGATTACTATCACGTCTTACTATTGGTGTCAACCTCTTTCACAATATCTGCCAGTTGACTCTCCGTCACCTCGCCACCCAAGCTGCGTATGACGTCGCCGAGTTCCGCCGTGGTGATGGTGCCGTCACCGTCCTTGTCGAACAGATCAAACGCTTCCTGGTACTCTGAACACGGAGAACAGGTTTCAGCTCTCTTGGTTAAGTGAGTGAGTTGGGTCACTGCCGCTTAGAACAGTATTTCAGTTATATCAATGCGTCTCAGGTTAATGTGGAAACTACGCTTGTCTTTTGTCACGAAACTGACGACCTAACGTATACTGTCTGGATACTGACAAACCAAGAATCACAACGACGGTGAAAGAGGGCTAAACCACCTATCATATGATAAATAGGCGCATCTCTGAACAACGAATTAGTAAGGGAGATTTCATTCGAATGTGTTTATTCCGGAAGTGGAATCAACGGGCCCCGAAGGGGCGAGATGGTTCTATTTCCGCAATCAACAGCGACGATTGATTTATGCGCCTTTCTGCGACCATCTTATGGTTGATATATAATTTCTCCACAATTTTGCATAATGACCTACAGAAGTGTTAGTTTTACTTGTTTAAATACACGTTCAGGATGGCCAGTGAATTCTTAGCCCAACTGCAACAACAGCGCGACGTCATTAATTAATGTCCCTTTGACGACCGGCTGACCCGGGAATCCTCGTTTATCAAGCCTAAGTTTGTGCACCCCACGTGTGCACACGTGGTGTAAGTCATGAATAATGTGCATTTACATGTACTTCATAGATAATTTTAAAGATAACACAACATGTCGGCTGAGGACAGAGAAGTGAATTCCTTGAGATAGTGGAAGCGAGTCTCCAGGTTGTCCGAGGTTGACGCTATTATCTTAAAAAGCCTACAATTGTACTAAAAAAATAACATGAAAAAAATATAACACCTACCTGCCTTTTGTTTTTCTGACATTCGCGCCTGAAAGAAACGTAGTTAAAACCCAGCGTCAGTAGGAAATTCTGCAGCCTTTCGAAGACTACCATTAGAAAATGTTTGTGAATTAAGTAAGTGGTGTACCGTTATACTCGTATGGATCTATCGCATTTCGAACCTAGTGGAAATGATGTCCTCAATACATTGCGTAAAAAAACAATTTAAAATAAGATTTACGTATATGATAATTATTAGTGCCCATCATTTAACTTTCACTATTGAATGTCTATTCTGCATTGAAAGGAAATACACTGGCCATGCGTTACAGTACATACCATGTCTTGGTTCATCAGTGATAAAGGTAACACTGGCAGAGATAAATACTCTTATCTTGCAGCATAGTCACACACTGACAGCCGTTATCGCATGCGTTTAGAACACGTTTAAGTAGGGAGAAGTCATTGTGGCGAACTGTTTCATAATGACATGCGCAGACATGCATTGTGTCAGAGAGAGTTAAGAGTGGAGCAGGACATACATTCTGCAGTGTGATGATAAGCATAAATATTTGTTACCGTCAATCTATGAAGGACTGGTTTGACACATACCCCCACCAACGCCCCAACCTCCAACCCATTACCCACCCAAGTCCCCAACCCACATATCCCTTTACGTTTGTGACGAGTTAGAGTTTGTGAACAGGCAAGATCGATATCAGTTTCAAAGAAAAAATAACATGAACATGTATTGTCTCATTAAACGTTATTTATGATCTTGTCTATACAATACTTTATGGCAAAGGTCAATACTTTTTCATGTGTTTTAATGAGGGGGATATCTAGTCTTTGGTATACATGCAAAACAAACGAAGAAACTGGTTTATAAAAGTTTTATTGACACAATACTATACAGAAGTGATTATTAAAACAGTATGACATTGGTGTTCCTGATGTAATTACTCTGAGAGTATGCGTCCAGTGCTCTTGTGTTCTACTGTCCCCGCGAAATATTTGCTAAATACCGTATGAAAACACCGCACCGCACCGCACCGCACCGCACCGCACCGCACTTCACTTCTCAAAAGATACATAGACCGTTTCACCTAACTTTCACATCAAAAGATGTTTGGACAAACAAAGGACAACAATCAACCACACACCATCACAATACACCACCACATTACACCTCCACAACACACCACTTCATATCACCACACACCACCAGAATACACCACCACGCACCACCATCACAATACACCAACGCGACACACCACCACAATACACCACCACCACACACCACCATCACAATATACCACCGCCACACACCACCACAATACACCACCACACACCACCATCACAATACACCACCGCCACACACCATCACAATACACCACCACACACCACCATCACAATACACCACAAAACACCACAAATCACCACCGCGACAAACCACCACAATACACCAGCGCGACACACCACCACAATACACCACCGCGACACACCACCGCGACACACCACCACGAGACACCACAATATTTGATATTGATATTTGATCAGGCCGTTGCCGTCCATGTCTGCCTCCCTGATCATCTCCTCCACCTCGTCGTCTGTGAGTCGTTCACCCAGGTTGGTCATCACGTGGCGGAGCTCCGCGGCGCTGATGTAGCCGTTCTGGTCCTTGTCGAATACAGCAAAAGCCTCCAGCAGCTCTTCTTCAGACTCTTGTCCCTTCAAGGCTCGAGCCATATATGTCAAGAAGTCAGGGAAGTCAAGCAGGCCTTTCTCTGTCAGAGGGGGAAATATTTACACTTTTTATTATTATTATTATAAGTTTTAGTAGTAGTAGTAATAGTAGTAGTAGTAGTAGTAGTAGTAGTAGTAGTAGTATGGTGCGATGACGCTGTATTACTGAACTACGGCTCCTAGCCAAGAAATGCATATGGCCTCGCCGTCTACGTTTTCCATCACCCGGAAGGTTAATAGGAGAATATAGTGCCTTGGTCATATAGATTGTTCGCCTTGTGCCAATTTGATTTTGGTTTAACTTGTGATAGCTTAAATGAACTATTAGACATTGCCTTTTATCCATTATATGTACACGGTATTGACTCCAGCTTCCCATGATTTAACCCCAAGTTCAAGGACGATGTGTGTGTGTGTGTGTGTGTGTGTGTGTGTGTGTGTGTGTGTGTGTGTGTGTGTGTGTGTGTGTGTTTCGGCTCGAAACTTCCGTTGACAATGGTTACTCCGACATCGGGAAAGTTGGCCCGGGCTGAAATTTTACAGATTCAGTGACATTTAGCAGGTTGTCAGCTTGCAGCAGGAGAACAGTCTGGGACCGATATTAATTATTGCGGGTTGTCGCGTCACTGAAGACAGCGAATAAGGACAATAATTGAAGCCTGACATCGCCATGCCATTAAACTGTGGACAGAGGATAAGCAATGTACCATTTTGACGTTCATGTTTACAAACAACTGAAAATCGGAAGCAGTTTCCTTTATGAATATCACACATATATGTGGTGCATGTATGAGATTGCAGAATTAATTCTGGTTGTGACGTACTGGTTTGGTCCACCTCATCCGTCATCACCTGGAGTTCGGCGTCTGTGATAGCGCCCCCAAGCGACCGGATGGTCACCCCTAGCTCCTTCGACGTAATCTTCCCGTCGCCATCACGGTCAAACAGGCTGAAGGCCTCCCGGAACTCTGTACAGAGGTGGAAACGTTTATACAGATCATTGCTGACTGGTTCAACATCAGAACTGAGCTTGGATTAACGGCGATTTGAAGAATACGCTGTGGTTTAGTCTTGCGTGTCAGATTGATGTGGCAAAGAGTCGAAAATAAATACTGCATGTCTTGGACGTATTCCTATTCAGTGAAAGCCACTAGCACAGGTATGGTACTGACAAACCGAGAAAAATAATCAGGGATTCGAACACACGATCACAGGTTTCTGGCACGCCCAAGGGACGCAACTTCTCACAGCGAATTCCGGCATCTTAGACGACTGGGTCCCACTATTGCCAAAGGCTTTAATGTAATGGTTCTTCGTAGCATTTGCATTTTGTTGCATTGAATTGCGTTTTCTGATAACTTCAATTTAGCTTCTGGGACCATTATGATTGGGATTTGTTTTCCCAAATCAAAAATAACATATCAAATGAACAATAACTGGGGTGGAGGACTGTGTTACTATTTGAATGGCTATTGGCAAAGGTGCTAATGAAGCACATACAAAAGCTACTCGTGAAGATCCGGGGTGGAATAGGTCTTCAGCAACCCATAAAAAGCGACTATGCTTGTCGTATGAGGCGACTAACGCGATCGGGTGGTTAGACTCGCTGACTTAGTTGATGCATGTCATCGTATCCCAATGGCGTGGATCGATGCCCATGATGTCAATCACTGGATTATCTGGTCCAGAGTCGATTATTTACAGAGCGACGTCATATAGCTGTAATATTGCTTAGTGCGGTGTTAAACAACAAACAAACAAACAAACAAACAAAAGCTTATTATCGTGTCCAGTTTCCCATACCAACTCAAACTCTCTATGGCAATTTTATGCAGAATTCCATACATTCCATACCGTGCTGGTAACTAATATCACCCTGATTTATACTTTTGATGTTAACTTTGATCACCCTACTCCCCTCCCCAACACTTCCCGAACCCTCCCAACCCCCAACCCAACTGCTTGTGTTATGTGGATAGTAGTGTTAACAAAATACTGTACCTGATATTTGCTCTTCTGTGAACTGACTCTGAAAATATGAATTATGTAAAGTACAATGTTTTATCACATTGGTTCAAATTCTCTGCCGTCAACCGTACATACATTTCAATTATGAATATGCGCACACACTATACGTATATATGTCTTGAAATAGTTATCTATCGACACGGACGCACGGACGCACGCACGCACGCACGCACGCAAGCAAGCACGCACGCACGCACGCACGCACACAATGCTTAACGTTAGTGTCAGTAATGTCTTAAGTGGGAAGTTGCGGTGGGGTAGCCTAGTGGTTAAAGCGTTCGCTCGTCACGCCGTACACCTGGGTTCGATTGTACATGGGTACAATGTATGAAGCCCACTTCTGGTGTCCCCCCGCCGTGAATTTGCTGGAATATTGCTAAAAACGGCGTAAAATACAACTCGCTCACTTACTTACGTCAGAAACACCTTTCATGTAATATTGTATCATTTAGGATCGAAACCTGGAGTTTCACGTTGCGAGTGCACACGCCTACCACTGGGCCAACAAAATATTATCCATCAATAAGACGCAACATTATATCGTCTCTGTTTTAAAATGTTTCAACTTTGTAAGTATGTGCTAGGACATCCTGGTTGTATCGTAGTGCCTGTCTGACTCTTATCAGGGGGCTCGCCGAGCCTACAGTCGGAAGGCCTGTCACTGACTGGCCTGATTCTTATCTAACACTAAGACACATGTGCCACAATGTTATCATAACCATGCTCCTGAAATCTCAGGGATTAAATTATCACTGTGGATTTCCGTTCAATAACTTTTTTGGTGCAATAAGTGTCAAAAGCTGCAAAGGAATATCAAGTACATAATTAACAGCGAAGTAAATTCACTCAGTCCTGCGAGTTTGGCGTGCACTTATAACCTGTAATGTGTTGTTATATAGCAAATCAAAATACTACATTAAACCTGTATATCTTGTAGCGTAATGCGTCAATTATTACGCTTCGTGATTTGTATGTATGTGTATTATGAATTATTATACAGATGTATATGAGGCAACTTACCATTTTGATCCCGAATCGAGCTGTCAATATTTAGTAAGATATAACCATCACAAGCTCAAGCGAATACGATGGCTTGAGGGTTTATATCAGAGGGAGTGCTCATTGCTTCAAATTGTTCGCATAGCGTGGGGTCGTCATCACAGGTCACAACATTCCAGGGGTGATCACATTGATTGACTAGTCTCAAGTGGTGATATATTATAATAAACGTTGATTAAACGTGGTATCTGTGTCATAGTGATAAGGAAGTTAAACAGCGAAGCCTTGTTAATCTGGTTATCATTTGGAGTCAAATCGTCCGGATTTTAAAGAAAAACAACATGGTATAGCGAATCATGAGAAATGTCGCATCGGGATCATCAGGTTCTGGAAGGCAAGTTGTCCGGATAATCGGGGTCCGGATTAACGAGGTTTCACAGTTCATATGCACGTGAGGGAGTCAAAGAGGCCTTAAAATTCAATGAGAAACAATCACATGATTTCATTTCACTTTTAAATATTTTCAATTGAGCTTGTGACAAGCTATAAAATTTAATGAGTTTTTGGCGTTGACAATGACTGCTCCCGAGGTACCTGTGAACAAGCAGACGACATAATTGTTTAATCATTGCCGCAGTGACGAAGTTCAAGCATTTTATCTTTCAATATGCGACAAGTTACCATGGAGATATGCAAATCAACAGATATGCATGTCTCGCGATAATGCAAGCATAAGCATAGACACTTGTCTGTGATAGATACTTGTGTCAGACAATGACTTTGCTGCAGACTGTATTTGGGTCGCGTCGCCATTATACCGTGTTGGTGCGGGAAAGGATGTAATGAATCAGTGGTTAGTCGTTTCTATAAAAATAAGAGGTTTTTTTATGAGTGAAAGGTCTATTAACTGTTGTTTTTTAATGTCATGAGTTCTGTTTTGTGACTTTTTTGCATTTCATGTACAGATACAGCTTGAGGATGTTAAATCCTCTTGATTGTCGCGACGTAAGGCCCAAAATGTGTGTCTGATGTTGCTAATCCTAGTTCTGAATTCTCGTAATATATTTTACGAAAACAGTTTAATATCTAAATGTAAATGTGACATTCGTGTCAATGTGTGTGATTCAGTTGACAAAATAAAACGCAATACAAAAGTAAAACCAAAGCATGCACGGACAACACTTTGTCCATATGGGGATCGAACCAATGTTGTCGTGTTTGATTACGGAACTGAACAACTCTCGCACAAGGAATCACGATTAGTGATTGTAGAGTTACCTCCCTTACAACGGTTCAGGCATGAGAACTTCGGCCTTCGCTGCTTATTCGCTTCAGGCGTACATTTGAAAATATCTTTTTTTAATCTTTCATAATAATACGATAAATTTATAACTTGCCTCGTCTATATATATATGATACTAAATGACACTACAAAGATATGTATGTTGCACAGATGAATGAATGTATTATCAATGTGTCGCTTGTGATGACAGATACCTTTGGTATGTTAAGATTTGTTTCTTCTTATTTATTTTAAGGGGGAAAGAGTTGGGGGAGGGGGAGAGGGAGGGGGAGAGGGAGGGGGAGAGGGAGGGGGAGGGGGAGAGGGAGGGGGAGGGGGAGAGGGAGGGGGGGTCACATAAATTACAAGCATTTATCATCAGCGCCACTTTGCCACTTATCGTACATAGCAAATAACGATTAAAAAATTCTATTAATTAAAAAATGATAAAAATCATACAATTTCTCAAAAGTTTTATTAATATTATTATCTGAAAATTGCGTCTTTTTCAGAAACAAAATCTGCAGAAAATTTGCACGAGGCCATGTTGTCACTGATGGGTTCTCTAGGCCCCTGCTCACAGCAAGAAGTCTCCAGTTTGAAAAACGCATACCTACATGTATATACAGTGACGTGTCAGGGATAATTGGCCATTATTGCTCTGTGATAGCTTCGCGACAGCAGTAGCCTTGCGACAAATATGTAAGTTTATGATTTCCACATGGGTAAGCAGAGACCCCGCTATAACGTTCACTGATTTGAGGATTCGGTATTAACATTTAATGGCCTGAGATTAAGTCGGTCGCTAGAGCAATGTGACAGCGGCCGAAGTTCAACAGAATGTCACAACATGGGAGTCTTTGAGTGTTTGTTTGCTTGTTTGTTTGTTGTTTAACGCCGCACTCTGCAATATTCCAGCTATATGACGGCGGTCTGTAAATAATTGCGTCTGGACCAGACAATCCAGTGACTTACATCATGAGCATCGATCCTCGCAATTGGGATCAATGACATGCATCAACCCAGTCAGCGCCTTTTACGACAAGTACAGTCGCCTTTTACGGCAAGTATGGGTTGCTGAAGACCTATTCTACCCCGGTTCTTCACGGGGCAGTCCATGAGTGAGTGAATGTTGTTAAATGGCAGGTCAGAAGTATCCCAACTTTATCATGGCGACCAGTAAATAACCAAACTGAATCAGACAAACCAGTGTTTGATACTACGAACATCCTCCCACGACTTAGGGTTTCCATGACTCGTTATCATCCAAGTCCCCGTATCTCATCATTCGGACGCGTCTTACGACAATCATGGGTTATAAAATACGCCATACGATCTACCATTCACAGTCACAATCACTGCTGTGGCGGGTCGAGACACGAGTATTTAGAGGCAAAAAAACTTACCAATCTCATGTTGATTATAAAAAGGTGGCTCACATATCACACAACATCGTTATAACATGCATCGTTGAAACACAGCACTTTTATAACAGGTAATTGTAACGAAGAGTTATAAGGGGTAATTATAACAAAGAGTTATAACAGCTAAGTGTTACACATATTAGATCCATGACGACACTGTTATTAAATAGAAGTCAGTAGGTCTTTATTTTTCTTCCACCAACGATCATATATGAGTAATAGTTAATGGGATCGGACTGATTGGACTTTTAGAAAAAAAATAGTTAAAAAGGGTAAATATATATTATCCTTAATCAACCAATCTCATTAAAATCAAATCTTAGTGATCGCTACCGCTAAACAAAGATCTGAGAACGTCCCATTACGGGTGATGGAATTGAGGAAGGTTTTTTCCAAGTCGCTCGAGCACCACTCTTGTTATCTACTAACTCCAGTTTTATGACGTATATCAATCAAACAGTTAAATTGTTTCTTACTTACTCAGAGATAATATCTGTGATTAACACCTGTCATAAATTGCACTTGTCGAGACTAAAAATAGTCTCCAGACAATGGAGCACATGCCCCATTTAAGAAGGAGCAGGTTTACTGTAAATCATTGCATGACATTGTACAATCACATAGCATGCACCTGAGTCACGATCTTTCATTTACATGTAAATTTACCGTTTGAATTAAATCAATAATTTCGTGTCGACACATGCCACTCACAGATTCCACACGTCGTGTAGTTTTCATTGATTAGAGAGTGTGTGTGTTTTTGCACTACATATTTTCCTCAATACGGTCCTCAAGAATACAGGGAGGAAGTAGTATGTCTATAGAAGATAAGGATATGGCATACATGACGCGAACGGTACATAGACGAGGCCCGGTCCAAAATATATAGTCCTAAGTCCTCAGTCCTAATAATGATTAAAGATATCAGAAAATACATTTCGTCTTAAATGTGGTTGGGGGCACGGGTTGTCCAGTCGTCTGAGGCGCCGCGATTCGCTGTGCAGAGTTGCGTCCCTTGGGCACGCCAGAAAACTATGCTTGTAGGTTCGAATCCCGGTTCACCCCGATTATGTTTCTAGGTTTGTCAGCACCATACAAGTACTCGTGGGTTCACCGAAGTGGTAAACGTCTGAGACCTGCACCACTTCGGGCTTTCCTCCCACATAAAGCTGACACGCCTTGATATAACTGGAATACTGTTAAAAGCGGCGTTAAACCAAACTCACTCACTCACTCACTTAAATGCGGTGATGTTAAAGCATAGTCGTAACGCTAAGATCGCCTGGAGGATGACGACCATGAGAGTTGATTGATGAAACTGGGCGTTACGTCCTCGGCGACAACACGCCATATCTGGAGGTCGGCCGGAACATCATTAAATCGGCTTATCTCCTTTCTTACCAGGCTGGGAAATACTTGTAATCTCTATTATTGAAACAAAACATCAGTCTAGCTACACAAACACCGGACAAAACCCACTTCGCCCCCACGTACCTGTGTAAAACTCGGCAATTAAAGCATCCACTATATTCAAGGGAACTTATATACTAATATGGCTTTAGGTCACCCGACAAATAGCGACCATTGCCATTCGTTTTACACAGTGTAACCTCGTTAGCTCCTCGTAATTCTCCGGATTGTCGCAAATATTATAGGTGAGGTGAAATTGGGTTTAACGTCGCGTCCAAGATTATTGCACTTATATAGCGACGTGCATGTACGTGTGTGTGTTTGTGTGGCTGCTTGTACTAGTCCGGACTGATGCCGATTTATAGTGCTAGCCCACTGAGATACCATGCCGCAGTTTAACATAAATACCCCACTCAGACACATTATACTGACTCCGAGCCGACCAGTCCTTGTTTTAGCCCCTTAATGCCGAGCGCCAGACAGGGTAACAACAAGTACCGTCTTTTAACGTCTTTTAGTATGACGCGGCCGGGGATCGAACCCCGGACCTTCCACTCTCCGGGTGGACGCCCTACCACTAGACCACGGACGCGGTCCGCAAATATTATGAGTCGCGTGATCACGAATGGTAAATAGGGTTTTATGCGTCCCACGTTTGGTTTTACACCACGAGCCGGGTTGGATCTCCAGCAACCCATGCTTGTCGTAAGAGGCGACTAACGGGATCGGGTGGTCAGGCTCGCTGACATGGTTGATGCCAGTCATCGTATCCCAATTACGTAGATCGATGCTCATGATGTCAATCACTGGTTTGACTCGATTACTTACAGACCGCTTCATAGAGCTGGAATATTACTGAGTGCGGTGCGAAGTAACAAACAAACAACAACGTTATGCATAATAAGGTCGTGCTCCGCACGTATATACAGATATAAACCAATTCGGAGAACATTACAACAACTAAAAAAGAATTTTGTAATTCAGCAATATCAAACCTCGAAACCAACATTTCTACCAAATTTCCTCGGTATGATATTTATTTATTTATACATGCATTCATACATAACATGTTAACCAGTAGTAGTCATCTTAATACCCGCTATAACGCCGGGGTAGTCTTGAAAGCTCATGCAGGCTCCGCCCTGCCGATCACTCCCACGACGTTTATCATCACACTGCTTTCACTTCTTGTGTGTTTGGTTTGTCCCACTGAAAGAAAAACTGCAGTACGTAATCCTAGAGTGTTATCTATCCGAGACAATCCTCCCTGGTATGTTAATCCTCAGTCATCATACCGTAGGTACATACAGGTGAGGATTAACCAGTTCTACAAGCACCGCGCGTATTTATCGGGTTTTCGAAGCTGTGTGCACGTTATAGCGAGTACTGTTGGTATACAACTACTGCATTGCCACCGACGCAGCCTGACAAAGACATACCTATGGTGAGTGTAATATTGACCATATTTAACCCACGAAAACCATTCAAAAATGACATGTAGCAGTTTTGAAAAGTGAGTATTGGTTAATAATTACTTTAGCGCTGTTTGTATGTAACGAAATATTTAGATATAGGTAAAATGAAAGGCGTTTCATTTCACATTTGAGAAATGGGGGCACGGGTTTCTTGCTGTAGTGCAACGTTATCAGCGACGATACCAACTCTATTGGTGTTCATGCGGTTTTTTTAAAGCTGCTATAATATCAAATGTATGAAACAACATCGCTCCACGTTTCTTGGGGCTGGTTTAGACCTGTCTCTTCATTTCTTCGTTTACACCTGTCGTGTTATGCAAACCCCGTACCTAATCCTTACTAGATGGTCTTAAGCACAGCGGAGATTACAATGAATATGACGAGGCGTCATTTCATAAGGAGCGTTGACTCCAAAGTACAAAGATGTTAAACATCATCGCTCAACATGATAAACGATTAGTCACACATAAAAAACCCTCATGTAAACAGCTTAGCCTTCTGTAGATTTCAATGTCAATATATTTATTAGTATAGCTAATTTCTTTCACAAAGCTAATTTCAATGATATTTCACGTGATTATTTAAGAATATTCATTTTTTATCACATTTAATATTCCAATAACAATATATTTCAAGAGATTATTAATGACAACACGTTAACATTAAACTTAATATTGCATGCATGAATTTGTTATACATGTACCCTGTAATATATAATATTTGCATTGTTTTGATTACAGTGAAGACTAATTGTTAAGTTAAGTGACAGGTATTCGTTATCATGTCAAATAAATTTATCTTCTTATAAATAATTTGGGTTTTTTTATATCACATTTGACCATATAAGAGCCTCAAAAGTAATGTCAGGGAATATGTCTAAAAAACTCGATGTTAAATCAGGGAATATGTAAAATACCTGAAAATGTTAGGGATTATGTATATTCCCTGAGTGAATCAGACATTAAATATATTCCCTAAATTTCAGAGATTATACATATTCCCTGGTTATACATATTCCCTCTAACATATATATACTGAACAGTCCATGGTTGCCGAGTTATAAGCTATAAGAAGTATAAGTGATTTGACACACTCCTGATAACAGGGCCTGGTGAAGGTGCAGGTGTAGCGCGACCTGCTCCAATCAGGTCATTGCAGTCACTGACGCCAACTGTAGATCATAAACCCTGGGCTTATCCCAGACCCTTGACAAGTTAACAGCATCCGAAACACATATTTGTACTGTTATAAAATATTATTATATTTAAATGGACATAATGTTTGTACAATGTGTTTTGTCCTCCATAATGCATTGTTTACTTAGGATAGTTCACAAAAGGAGAACATGGAGTTGGCTTTTCCATAATAGCTTTACTTTACCTATAGAATTACCTTTGGCTGGTTTAACGAGTACGCTTTGTTTGTTTTGTTTGTTTTGTGTGCCGTCGGGGTAGAATGACATGCTCAGAGGAAACATGGGGTGCAGACATGGGGTGCAGACATGGGGTACAAACATGTCACCTGACCTCCCGATCCATTTACTCGAATCCTACGACATGCGTTGGTTGTTTGGGAAGAATTCTAACCAGGGTCTCCCACACGCTGGTATACTATACTCTGACAAAAAAAAAATTGTGACCGACCTCGATTTAAAAATAGAAATAAGTTTTTTTATTACTTTTCGTCTAGGAGTTACACCATATTAAGAGGTATTTTACATGAAACGTGTGGCAACCAACAGTGGTTGATTATTCTCATTATTATTATCGAGCTATACCAAATAATTATCTTACATACACTGTTTCAAAATAATAACTCGCCGAAAACAGTTTGGACTAAAGAAGTCACCATGATGACGTTCCCGGCCTGTTACAGCATCGCCCAAACACACCGTTTACTTACTCTGTCTAAACACACCGGGTAGCACAGCTATAACGCAGGGTCATTTGACGGGTCAAGTCTATATGTTTCAATAAACCATATCAGGACAAATATTCCCACTCGCATCTAGCAAACCCTTCAGGCCACTAAGCTCGACGGATACACTTATCAGGCACTCGCGTCACAACCGTTCGTAAAAAGAGACATTACTCGTAGCAACGAACGCTTTATAGATCGGGGCCCAGGCACATACACAAATAAATAACAAACATTAGTCCATGTAGATATGAATGTAAAAAGATAGCTTACGCTTTACATCCATGAAGACAGTTTGTAAAAGAAATATTCAGAAGCTTTATTTCAATACGTTAATGAGTTCTTCCTAGGCGACAGCACGCACAACAGTGAGTGAGTGAGTTGGGTTTAACGCCGCGTTTAACATTATTCCAGTCACATCGCGGCGTGTCAGCTTAATGTGGGAGGAAAGCCCGAAGTGATGCAGGTTTCAGACGTTTACCACTTCGGCGAAACCCACGAGCACGGGTATGGTGCTGACAAACCAAGAAACATAATCGGGGCGAACCGGGATTCGAACCCACAATCATAGGTTTCTGGTGTGCAACTCTGCACAGCGAATCGCGGCGCCTTAGACGACTTGGCCACTCGTGCCCCCTGCATGTACAACAATTTCAAGCACTTTCATTGCGTCATTTGTGAGTGAATGAGTTTGGTTTAACAGTTTCAGTAATATGACGGCTTCTTAGCCTCCTTAGGGTGGAAAGCCTTTGTGTTGCAAACAATCAGGAATTAAGTCTAGTCAGTTATCTCCGCTTGTCTCAAAGTCCGGATAACTCAACATGTAATCCAAGACTCCGGTCCAGGGTTAACAGAGCATCACGTTACGTTAAGCTTTACGAGTGAGTGAGTATTGTTTTACGCCGTATTATTTAATATTGCAGTAATATCACGGCCGGGAACACCAGAAATGGGTTTCACACATTGTACCCAAGAGGGGAATCGAACCAAGGTCTTCGGTGTGACGAGCGACCGCTTTAACCACTAGGCTTACCCACCTCACCTTAAGCTTCACGATCAAAGGTTGAAAAGAATGTAAATACGTTCCTAGTTGCCTTTTAATCTTTAAGTAGATTATCAGGTTGTCCCAGTGTCATCTGCAATAAACCTGCCTTGATAGACCGCATCGCGAAGGAGCATCACAGGTATACATAGGCAGAAGAACACACGGCGCAACCTGCGCCCCAATCGAACAGATGGTGTCCGGTGTAAGTTGTACTGACGTTATCAAAAGAATGCTGTAGCTAACGCGTGTAAAGGTTTGAAACGAAATATAGATTTCCCTGAAGTCACAATGACACGATGTGTGGTGTCAGATGCTCTGTGATGAAAGGTGGTAAGTCCCCTGCAGCAAATGTTCCCCGTTATACCACCATTGATATCCACAATACACTAAATATACCCCAGAAACCATGAAACGGTCCACACAGGCCAGTATATGGTGGATTATCTGGTGTGAAAAGCAAGATCGAGCCGATTGATTTAAGTTTGTGCACGTGGATTGATACCACAACAACAAGAAGGAAATTGGTCGAATGTTGGCGTATTTTATGTTTTTTCTTCACTTGAACATTATTATCTTCAAACATTAAAAACCAAGATCAGAATTAACTGAATGTTTTTCATTTTCAGACGAACGAGGCCGTATCTGTTCCCGGTATGTACAATTGCTTTAAAAGTGTGTGTGTGTGTGTGTGTGTGTGTGTGTGTGTGTGTGCGTGCGTGCGTGCGTGCGTGCGTGCGTGCGTGCGTGCGTGCGTGCGTGTGTGTGCGTGTTTGTGTGTGTATGTGTGCGTGCGTGTGTTGGGGAAGGAGGAGTGTGTGTGTGTGTATGTGTGCGTGCGTGTGTGTGCGTGCGTACGTGTGTGTGTGGAGGTAGGGGGAGGGGTTGCTGGGATTTTGTATGGATTTATTTTCAGCTGCAAAACCAGATATTTTCATTAATACTTCGACCCTTCAGTACAGATCTTTTGGGCGTCTTTACACATCCAAAAAACAAGCCTTGTTATACATACCAATGTTCATGCTAGTCCTGAGCACGGATCACGCAGTGGTTAAAGCCACCAAAACTCCCAAGACAGTTGCTTCCCTTTGCCGTGCCAGGATAAGCTGGTCGTGAGTATGAATCCCAGTTTTGCCCGATTATGATCCATGGTTTTCATCATGGCTATCAAACCTTGGCACAAAACGCAACCCCTCGTAATAGTTTAAATGAAATATGAATTATAATGGCATCGTAAATAAATCTAAACATATGGTTTTTTTCAGATGTGTTCAAAATGTTTGACTCAGATGGCGATGGCTATATACCAGCCAATGAAATTGGGACTCCCATCCGGGCACTTGGTCACGTGATCACTAATACAGAACTGACGGCGCTGATGAGAAGTGTTCAAGTTGAGAGTGAGTTCAATGTAATGTCTCTGAATCATGGGCGCCTAGTAGTGGTAGCTGTTATTACATACTTATCTTTTAACCATGGTGCAGTAACTATGTCCTTTGTCGCCATACGTTTCGCCATATGTTTCGCTATATGTTCCGCCCCATGTTTCGCCTCATGTTTCGCCATGTTTTCGCTCGAACCATACATGAAAACATAATATTTGAAGTTCCTTAAGTGAAGGTTGGTTGGTTGGTTTGTTGTTTAACGCCGCACTCAGCAATATTCCAGCTATATGACGGCGGTCTGTAAATAATCGAGTCTGGACCAGACAATCCAGTGATTAATATCATGCGCATCGATCCACGCAATTGGGAAAAGATGACATGCATCAACCAGGTCAGCGAGCCTGACCACCCGATCCCGTTAGTCGCATTTTACGACAAGCATAGTCGCCTTTTACGTCAAGCATGGGTTGCTGAAGATCTATTCTATCCCGGATCTTCACGGGCACCCAAGTGAAGGAGCTGAATTCCGTCATTCAAAGGGTATGTTAATAGCTGAAGATGCATCCAGTGTTTCGCGAACATTATGTGTCATCACTGATTTTCAGTGATCAATTCATATAACTGACTTGGCTATTTTGCCTTTTGCGCCCAGTGGAATCTGTTTCGGCAGATAACCGAGACTGGTTATTCTCTGGCGTTGACGTCTGATATGAACTGAATTTACTAACAATAACTTGCTATAGAATGTTTGGTCCGGTCTCTCATTCCCGCGGGGGCACGGGTGGCCCAGTCGTCTGAGGCGCCGCGATTCGCTGTGCAGAGTTGCGTCCCTTGGGCGCGCCAGAAAACTATGATTATGGGTTCGAATCCCGGTTCGCCCCGATTATGTTTCTAGGGTTGTCAGCACCATACCCGTGCTCGTGGGTTTCACCGAAGTGGTAAACGTCTGAGACCTGCATCACTTCGGGCTTTCCTCCCACATTAAGCTGATACGCTGCGATATAACTGGAATACTGTTAAAAGAGGCGTTAAACCCAACTCACTCACTCACTCTCATTCACGCCAATTCGCTGAGCAGAGTTGCGTTCCCATTTTCGTGCCAAGATGCTGATCGCGGGTTCGAATCCGAGATTCGTACACATTATAATCCTTGGTGTCTCGGTACCATACCCGTGTTCGTGGGTTTCCGCAAAGTGGTAAACGTGTGCGACCTGCGTTGTAAGATTACTCAAAGTGACATGAACCTAACCTTATATGCGACATTATTGTGGAAAAACTGTTTCGCGAACCAGCTTACAGCGTGTAATGGTTACTGCCCTCATCCCCGAACTCATGGGAACTCTAGGTTACAATTATAGGTCCCAGGACCACTTTGCGTGTATTAAGATGTGTCTAAATGGATCGGGAGGTCAAGGCAACGATTGTCGTAAGTCTATATAAAAGTATGGGAGTTACGATCGTGTTAGTGCCAAGACCGCTTTATGGAGTCCGTCACAGGCTCAGTTTTGTGTGTCGTGCGCGGAAAGCTTTGCCAATTCCTGGTTTGTCTGGGAGAGATTCAAATATTTACGGGCCGCCGTTATATAACTGGAATTTAGAAGAAGAAAAACAGAAATACACAATCGTGCTACATTATTATGCTCGTGAGAAAGTTGTTTAGTCTGACTGGTAATGAGTGAATGTATTATATACCTAATTCTACACATCACATACAGAACGCGGGAAGGTGGATTTGAAGACGTTTCAGAGAATGGCGGACTCAATTCAACCGTCAGACACCAACAGACAACTTAAAGAGGCCTTCGAGGTCATTGACCGAGAGGGAAGTGGAAACGTGAACGCCACAGAACTGCGCCACCTGTTGACAACCTTGGGAGACAGAATGACGGACGATGAGTTCAACGTTCTCCTGCAGGAGCTGGACATTGATAAAACAGGGAACATCACGTGTTCAGGTGCGGAGAAGGGGGGAACCGATGCGTTGTATTGTAACTGTTTGACACCCAGGACCTAACTTAATAAAACATAGAACTCAATCACATATAGACAGCATTAGTATGTTATTTCGTTTAATAATATGCATACAAACAGACTTAACCGCGCAATGGGAACAGGGCCCCGTTCCACAAAGTGATCTTAGCTCTAAGTTGATCGTAACTCCCATTCTTTAACACTGACTTACGACGATCGTAGCGCTAAGATCGCTTTGTAGAACGGGGCCCAGATCGCTTTCGTAGTCTAGTGGTAAAGCGTCCGCCCGGAAAGCGTGAAGATCCGGGGTTCTTTGCCCGACAGCGCCATACAGAAATAGGGAACCTTAGCAAAATATACATATTTTCAATGAGTGGGATATAAGATGGTGTTCATTTTTTTCTTTGTTTTTGTGTGTGTTTTATTCTAATTTCATTACCCATTTGTTTTCAGAAACATATTTTTGTAAAGAAAATCGGAGCGATTTTATTTAAGTGTTTTACAAATAATGATCTGCTATTTTTAATCTTTCTTGTCACAGATTTCATCTACCTGATGACCAGATAACTTGTGGTGGTCATGTGACTGAGGAACCAACCAACCAGCATCAGCCTAACAACCATCTCTTCTGGGACCATTGATGATGCCATTGATGAACACCGCACTCTGTCGCCTCCAATTTCCCCAATTTTTAAATCAGCTCAGCTGGTACAATTATAATCATGTCTGTGGTATATTCACATAATATATATACAGCATCAAACTTTAACATAAGTCGAATGTGATGAATATGATAACCAAGTCACCTTTTTGCCCGCATCACCGCATCAAGAATACATGTTATATTGAGTGTTATGATTGTAAATAAAATTATGATATTATAAAGAATGTGCTTCGCATTATATTCACGAAAGACCTTAATTTATGAGTATAAATGGGAATAGAGTGGGGTATTATGAAGACTTTTTGGGCCAACTTAGCATGATCTAAAAACTGAGCAAAACGTGTGACAATCAGGCGTTGAGAGTTGTTTACATGTGTGGCTCAAAAAATCTACACATTCTCAGTCATATTTTGGCGGCTTCGTACCAAAATCGTTTAAGGATTGTACGATTAAAGATATCTGAGTGGGGTATTGATGCTAAACTGCAGCATGGTTTCTTATTGGACTGAGCGCTATAAAACCGACACAAGCAGACACATGCACATGCGCGCACGCGCACACATACGCACACGCACGCACACATGCATGCGCTAACCTTATGCAAATATGCACCTAAAACAGGTGAAAGTGGTTAGTTGTCCATTATAACCTGTAGCTTCACATGCTCAATCGGGATAAGACTTTCTCCGTGGTCTAGTGGTAGATCGTCCACCCGGAGAGCGTTAAAAGATCGTACTTGGTGTCACCCTGTCTGGCGCTCGGCATTAAGGGGCTCAAAGACTGATCGGCATTAGTCCGGACCAGTAAAAGCAGCCAGCCACACACACACACACGCACGCACGCACGCACGCACGCACGCACGCATGCTATATAAGTGAAATTATTTTGAACGCGACGTTATATCAGAAGTTTTACATATATAGGCTCGATGTTTTCTAAGACGACATCTGTTGGCCCCTACTTTGTATTGTTATAAAATGATTTTATTTAAAAGTTCTAAAGGCAACAGGCCCAAAGACATCATATTTGGCATATTAAAGAATTTATACATATAACTCAATAGCCATTACACGAGGGGGGACATTTTAAGTTTCATAGTGTGATACATATTTACAGCTGATTAATAGACAACTTACTCTTTTCTGTGACCGTAATATAGCAGCAGCAATTATCAAGATTCTGCGAACTCAGATGCTGCATGTGTTTGGTGCATTTCTTGTTTAAAAATTTCATTACATAAATTGGTACGACAGGAGTATTCAGTGATGACATAGACAATGGTCGCAACATTTCTTTGAGAAAATATTAATCGCAACTACAGCTAAATTCACAACATGGACTCTCCATTCACGTGACAGGGTGCCAGATAGACGCCCAGAGGGCTATAGTGACGTCACAGCGAAAGGGAGTGTTTGGAATAGCACCACTCACTCACCCACTCTTGACGCAATGAAGGCGAATGAAATTGTTGGTATCTCAGTGGGCTAGCACTGTAAAACCGGCCACACCGGTGCAGGCAATCACACACCTGCACGTCGCTACATGAGTGCAATCATCTTGCACGTCCCCCTGATAGGTAGACTACATGTTACAACACAATATACGAGGGCTGGCTGAAAAGTTCTAAGCCTAAGTGGGATATCTCAATCGGATTGAAAGAAACTTTTGCCACCAACAAGTACAATCATTTAATGAATCATAGACATAAGAACTGCAACTGTAGTGTTATTATCGTCTTTGTACCAGACCATCTTGTGAACCTACCGATTGAAATCACCAGAAATGGACAAAACTGGCTTAGGGCAGTCATCAAGTACCTGCAACTGAAAGAGCTAACTCCAACGCAGATACATGCTGACATGGTCTCCACTTTAGGGGATGATGCCCCTTCCTTTTCCACTGTAAAGAAGTGGGCTGCGGAATTCAAGCCTGGCAGAGAGAGCCTTGACGATGACAAGCGTGCAGGAAGGCCTTCAACAGCAACCATTCCGGAAAACATTACCCGGGTGCATGACATGGTGATGGCTGATCGACGATTGACCACTCGACATATTGCCAGTGTTGTGAGCATCTCTCATGAGAGGGTTGAGCACATTATCACCAACGAGTTGGGAATGACAAAAGTTTCTGCAAGATGGGTGCCAAAGCTCTTGACAGCGGATCAGAAACGTGTCAGATTCCTGACGTCCCGTGACAATTTATACCGTTTTGAAGCAGATCCCGATGATTTTTTGGCCCGATTTGTAACCATGGATGAGACCTGGATTCATCACTTTCAACCAGAAACCAAAATTCAGTCTAAACAATGGAAGCATACGGAATCACCAGCCCCCCAAAAAACCAAGTCGGTTCCTTCTGCTGGAAAGGTGATGGCTTCAGTCTTTTTGGATTCCAAGGGTATTCTGCTGATTGACTATCTTGAAAAAAGCCAGAATATCAATGGAAGATTTTATGCTGACCTACTGAGACAGTTGCGTGAAGCTATCAAAGCTAAGCGACGGGGAATGCTCACTAAATGAGTCCTGTTCCACCAAGACAATGCTCCTGTTCACAAATCGGTGGTTGCCATGTCAGCGATCCATGATTGTGGTTTCGAACTCATTGACCATCCCCCTTATTCACCCAATTTGGCCCCGTCAGACTTCCACCTATTTCCCAAACTGAAAAAGGAACTAGCCGGTCGCCATTTTCCTAGTAATGATGACGTCATTTCCGCTGTGAATGACTTTTTTAGGGTGGCTGAAGACACTTTCTTCTTGACCGGCATCCAGGCTTTGCAGCATCGCTGGAAAAAGTGTGTAAACCTGGAAGGGGACTATGTGGAGACATAAATGAAAACCATCGACTTGGTACGGGTCTTTCACAGTTAGGCTTAGAACTTTTCAACCAGCCCTCGTAGGTCATGGTCTTTAGCGATAATTTATCTCGACAGTACAGTTATCTCGAAATCGGTTCCATCAGTTCGAAATCACCAAGTCAGTTCATTCCAGCCTTCGGGTCCTCCGTCTCAATTTAAAAGTACAAAACCATCTATGAAATTAAGGCAGCTGATTTATTCCAAGCCCTGAATCTGAGAAAAGACGTCTACAAATAGATACTAGTATATACAAAATATCACATGAAAGAGCAATTGTGTCCATAATTACTGTATTTTGCTCCCGGTTTTAGCTTAAATCACCCCCTCCAAGGTTCCGTGTTCAGATATAACCCATTAGAAGACTGGTGTCGCAATGCTATCCTGTAAACAGGATTAATACCATACACAGGCTCCACGATTCTAAGTGCTAATTGTTATGACAGTTGTGTGACGTCCGAACTCCTCTCACCTAGGTCTACCGCGAAGCAACTATCGATTTGCTACATGGTCGCCATGGCAACACGGAGACGCCATTCTCACCACGGGGAGGTTTGCCGAATAACGCATTCAATTGCTCTTCCTAATCGATATATTTGGCACTTAGTCAGACAAATAGCAGTTTGCATCTGCCATTTACAGACACACCTCCAGACGACTGTGTTCCTGAGTCAGACTGGGTTGTATTGCAAAACTAGCAGCATCCATTCCACCCTAGCAGTGCAATAGGCGCATGGTTTTCTTTTCTACGAACTGACCATCTTCGAATGTTCCATGAATATTGAGTGAAACTGACGAGGACCCGTTGTGACGTCAATAGTCGGCCATTTTTCTTCCATCTTTCAACAGGGCAGTCACCAGAAACGGTAAGCACAATTATTCCACATGTTTCGTTTGAATAGGGGAATGTTGTTGTAGACTATCTAGAATCTAACCAAAACACTGGACATATTGGCACCAATCTTTGCGCATGTAATCGTGTGGTTTTACTGCTTTCTCCTCGACATATGTCGAACGTGAAGAATACTGACTACTGTTGATATACATATTCAGTATTGTTCGTAGACTAGAGATTTCTAGCAATCATTCCATATTCCCAATAACAGGTGATTTCATAGATCGTGTAAATTTTGATGCAGAAACAAGCTAGATATAATTAGAGCATCGTCTTAATCTTAACATAATTGATTACTCTATAAGAGTTCTTTCTGTTCGAGTTTTATAGGGGGTGGAATAGATTTTAAACCAAATTTTAAAATACTAGATAAAATATTCATGAAATATCCAAAACGTTTGACATCACTTCAAAAATCGATAAAAGCAATCGTCTCGGAGACTGTGTTTATCTGGTCGAGTCAATGTGTCGCATCGTGGTTCTCGTTACACAAAGCCGTTATTCGTCATGGTACGCCCTCATGCGGCGATTGTCAGTCGAATATATGCCCAAAGGTGTCGATCCAGTCGATAGTGACCTCATCACAACACTGTAGGGGGCATCATATCATCCATTAAACACACACAGCCATTGTTACCCATCGCCGTTTACAAGACATCACCGTGAACACAAGCCAGATTGCGTGGGCAAAAGTCATAAATGGTATTGATTCAGTGAGAGTTTAGTTAACCCTTATGTAGCATCTTTAGCCTATCATGATCAATTGCATGGCGTTTAATAACATTAATTTTTTTCAGTTTCTAGTATCCATACATGTTGTCGTTCGTCTCTAAAATACGACTTAGTTACTGAATGAATGTTGTTTTGCGTTGTCAGTAATAGACAGCTGTATACGGTCTGTAAGGTGAGGTGAAATGGGGTTTAACGTCGCGTCCAAGATTATTGCACTTATATAGCAACGTGCATGCACGTGTATCTGTGTGTGTGGCTGCTTGTACTAGTCCGTACTGATGCCGAATTTTAGTGCTAGCACACGGATATACCATGCCGCAGTTTAACATGAATACCCCACTCAGACACAGTATACTGACTCCGAGCCGACCAGTCCTTGTTTTAGACCCTTAATGCCGAGCGCCAGACAGGGTAACAACAAGTACCATCTGTTAACGTCTTTTGGTATGACGCGGCCCCGGACCTTCCGCTCTCCGGGCGGACGCTCTACCATTAGACCACGGAGGCGGTCCGTCTGTAAGGTAATCCTCGGTCAGAAAAACAAGCGGCTGATAGATTTTCCATCTGTATATCTATTGTTTATCATCCAAAACTGGCTCCCACAGGAGATATCGCTTGGATGAGATCAAGCGATATCTACACTGTAGATTCCGCTGCAATGAAATTACATCACAATGCTTTGCAGACCATTGTGACGTCACTGGTTACCATGACGTCACAATCAAATGACATCAATAATGGCTCTGCCACTGAATTTGTTAGCAGTACTTTTTACACTGAAGACACTCCTAATTACTGTCTACAAACTGAAAAGTTGGAAGAATTATGTTGAATGATAAATAAAATCTCACCCTCGTGTCTTTTGATATCAAATATATCAACACTCGTTGATAAAAGTGGCAAATATCCTCGGCAAGCCTCGGAATCTTTCCACTTTTATCAACTTGTGTTGATATATTTGATATCAAAAGACACTCGGGTGAGATTCTCTATATATATCAATGTCTGAAAGAAATGGCAAGCTACTCTAAGTATTGCCCAGTGTGTTAACCCTGCTCTTTCATTAAAAAAATATACTCATCCCTGGTGAAAAAGAATTGTACGAAACTTACTGGAAAAGATGGTCGCTAAAACGAAACAAACAAGAACTGGTTATTCGAGGGTGATCTATTTGATACGGGCTGACAGTGCACAACATGCGTGCACCTTCCCTACCTATAACAAATACATTTGCCCAACTTCTCTGCGCCGCCTACTTGTCTCAAACGCGTTTTGTGAGTTGGTCCAACCTATCCTGGATTACCAGTTGCTGAATATACACTTGACGTGTGACAGTAATTTTATGTATTTTGGAAAGATCGAAATATCAGATCATTGAAAATGTCTTGGCTACAAGACCCACAGAACGATTTAAAACACAATATTTGTATATGAGCGTGGAAGTGAGTTAGTAGGGGTTTAGCAATATTCCCTCAATATCACCAGGGGACAACAGAAATGGGCTTCACACATTGTACCCATATGGGGAATCGAACCCGATCCATCGGCGTGACGAGCGAACGCTTTAACCACTACGCTACCCCACCGCCCGTTAAATATATGAAAATACATATCGCACACATAGAGTACATGATATGTTATATTATTGTGTTGTTACGAAACTTGTTGGATTTATGTGAATTACTTATATTGCATCAAAGAGGTTAATGCGGCTTGTGGCTTGATGAACAAATGAGGAAGAAGGGACGGAATGAAGTTCCATCAATCCGCAAAATGTGTCATAGATCAGAAGACGTGTAGTTCCTCCCCGATGTTGATGCTACTACAATATTTACATTTACACTGCATTTAGCTTCTGGCAACTTGGATTATTTATCGACCACTTATAGCGCGTATTAATATTGCAACTCCGTCACACTGCATGACATAATCTTACATCCATGGATGGACGTGGTAATTTGTATTACCTCGCTACACAGTCCCATTATACCCAAACACATTGCCTGCTAATTACCTCTGTGCTCAAATAAAGTGTGAACACATGGCCCCTTTATTGGTGAGCAAAGGACCGAGACTCGAAGCTTAGGTACCATGAAGTAGGCGTGATACAAACCAAACTGAGATGTTGTGAAACTCCACCACAACGGGTAGTGTTAATTAAACATGTTTACAAGAACATGATTACTTTCATGATTATGGAGAGAACGTTCTCATGCTATAACTGTATCAATTTCTATGCTGCTGTTGACAGTTTACCATTGCTGGCATGTCTAGTGACAATGGCGAACATGCGAACATGATACCGCTGACAATGACATTCACGTCCTAAGGATACCAATGGAAATGGCATACTCCTGAATGATACCAGTGACAATGACATACTCATCTTTCTGATATCACTGACAATGACAAACACTTCGTAATGATACCGCTGACAATAACATACACGCCTTAATGATGTCACTGACAATGACATACTCATCTTTCTGATATCACTAACAATGACAAACACTTCTTAATGATACCGCTGACAATAACATACACGCCCTAATGATACCACTTATACTGACATAGACTCCGTAAAGATGCCGCTGACAATGACATACACGCCTTAATGATATCACTGACAATGCCATACACGCCTTAATGATACCACTTATACTGACATATACTCCGTAATGATATCACTGACAATGACATACACGTCGTAATGATACCGCTGTCAATGACATACACGCCTTACTGATACCACCTATACTGACATATACTCCGTAATGATGTCACTGACAATGACATACACGCCGTAATGATACCGCTGACAATGACATACACGCCTTACTGATACCACTTATACTGACATATACTCCGTAATGATGTCACTGACAATGACATACACGCCGTAATGATACCGCTGACAATGACATACACGCCTTAATGATACCACTTATACTGACATATACTCCGTAATGATATCACTGACAATGACATACACGTCGTAATGATACCGCTGACAATGACATACACGCCTTAATGATACCACTTATACTGACATACACTCCGTAATGATATCACTGACAATGACATACACGCCTTAATGATACCACTTATACAGATATACACGCCTTAATCATACCGCTGACAATGACATACACGCCTTACTGATACCACTTATACTGACATACACTCCGTAATGATATCACTGACAATGACATACACGCCTTAATGATGTCACTGACAATGACATACACACCTTAATGATACCACTTATACAGATATACACGCCTTAATCATACCGCTGACAATGACATACACGCCTTACTGATACCACTTATACTGACATACACTCCGTAATGATGTCACTGACAATGACATACACGCCTTAATGATGTCACTGACAATGACATACACACCTTAATGATATAACTGGCATTAATATGAGTGGCTTAATGATGCTATTGACAATTGTATATGCAATGTATGCCTGAATTGAAAAGAAAGGACAATTTGTCAAGCACAATTGTCACGCACGTTCATTTTCAGATGGGAAAGGTTAACATATTTTATGACAAGCCTTGTGATGAACGCTTTCGTGACAATGACAGAATCTCTTTGGATTAATAATGCCGATGAAATGATAGTTACAAAACGCCATAACCCATCATCTGTCACAACAAGACTTATCACGTCTACTTAAACAATTATTTTGTTTATCATCAGATTTTTACGATAGCATGCCTTTGTTGTGCATATATCAATGCTGAGGTTGAAACTGCCATACATACTTTACATACAGCAATGGCGATGACGTGCACACCTCTCAGTCACGGACAACGTCCACTACCAGCAAGATAAGAAGACATGAAGTTATTGCTTTATGTTAACTGTTAACCTTTTGACGGAGATTCCATGTATAATAAGACTCCTTTCCAGAACCTTCCCATAACATGTAAGTGACGTAGATCGTGTGCAACAATGTACTTTTGTAGATCCCAACGTCAGAACCCAATGATATTCTGTTGTGCTGGAGATTTGAAGATTGTGATATGTTCCACTGAGAATCCATTGTTCTTCTCGCGTGTTTGTCACACTGAAACTATTTTCAATGCAACTGGAGTTGTGCTATTTCTGAAAACTTTGTAAACGGAGTATAATTGAAGTGTTTCTGTTGCCATGGTTACAAATATGGCTGTAAATGTTTGTACGTGAAATGCCAATTGCTTAAATAGCCACAATCTGTTCTAGTCATGGCTTCCAATGGGCTATTCATCATTTAGATCGCCTATCCCTTCTGTCTACAAATATAGTTCCATCTTGTTTCCGACAGCTTATGCCCATATTTTTTATTTCTTCAAAAACAATATTTACGTTACTCAATTTAGAATTCCTATGTGCTTCACGCATTTAATACGAGCCATTCATGCAACACTATGAACTTCCACCCTTCTATGCAGTTAAAATATACGTGTGTCTATATGATGATTTTGTTTTCACTATAATAATTGTGTCCCAGGCAATATGACCCCTGAAGATCCGGGTCAGAATAGGACTTCAGCAACCCATGCTTGCCGTAAAAGGCGACTATGCTTGTCGTAAGAGGCGACTAACGGGATCGGGTGTCATCGAATCCCATTTGCGTGGATCGATCCTCGTAATATCAATCACTGCACTGTTTGGTCCAGTCTCGATTATTTACAGAGCGTCTTCATATAGCTGGAAAATTCCTGCATGCTGCGTTAAACAACAAACATGCAAACAAACACAGCTATGGATTTCTCAGTGCCTCGTTGATCCCGTAAGAGACGACTAAAATGGGGATCAAGTGGTCAGGGTTCATCGATGGAGTGTGTTGGTGCTCATGCTTTCACTCACTGGTTTCATGCTTTCACTTACAGGTCACTGTGACATAAATGGACTGTTGCCGGATGTTCCGTCAATCATCATTCACTCACTCACACACCTTTCTGCGGCATATTGCCTTAATTCAGAAGGCGGTTTTCCAAATATTCGGCTTTCCAGTGAAGATAGAAATCGTAGAAATATGTTAGTCATTGAGAGGTGTTCTCGAGACACAGTTAGAAAGTTCCAAGGATGGCAGCTGTGAGGTGATCAATTTCAAAGGTTAAACTGATGTATCTAAATATAGAAGCAACAAAACACATAATCGTAGTTTTGGTTGCTCCCTTGTTGCTGACAGGGCAGACATCAGACAGGCTAAGAACAGGCAGACCCAGGGTAACTACGCCCAATGAAAACCAGTACTTGCGTACTTTGCATCTCCAGATGTCATCAGCGACGAATGCCTTAGGGCATATAGTTAGTCGACAGACAGTGGCCAGGCAACTCAAGGCTCAGGACTCTACAGACCTTACAGGGGACAGTTATTGACAGCCCAAACATCATCGTCATTGAGATGGGCATGGGCTCATACTACACGCTATAATGTGACTTGTCATTAAACTTAATCGATTTTAGAAGTGTTTGCCCTTTGTCCCTTACGTTGAAAGCTTGTTTTTGCTACCCCAACTCAATGTCTTGCCAATATCGGATGCTGTATGCCTGTCATATTAAATGTTGATTTGGTTGAGTGTTTGATCCTTCTTATAAATTTTGCTTCATGCATCTATCTTTTAGCGATTTAAAACTATGGTAAAGATTCTTTTGGCCGTCAGTTCAGTATGAATCATACAACTGACTCTGCTTTTTGTAGACATTTTGGAAATGTTTTTTTGTCGCTTTGTAATTTCAATATTGTTTCAAGGATTCGCCCACCGCTTCCGACGACAAAACGAACGAACAATTTGCCTATAAAACAAAGCATTCCAGGGAGTCTCCTGGATCCTAACAATCAGAATTTCAGTCTGGTTTATAATCAAGAACTGGTGGGTGTAATTATGCGACGCGCACAATCTTCCGACCTGTTTATTCTCATTGCACGGTTGTGTCCCTGGCGTATGGCCGGGATGAAGAAGAGAGCTCTCCTATTTCAAGGAATCGTTAACAGGACTAATCAACTCATTGCTCAGTGCCTGTGGACCGTACACATCAATAACAGGATCACCCTTGCTCTTTGCGTTTCTTCAAGCAACGCTTGGGATGTTTGTCTTGTGACATTTCTAATGGTGTAGAATGGCTTCTGTTATGCAAGGACGTTTATCTGACATTGTTCAGCATACACCAGTTCTTAACGTCCACTGCGTCCTTCATCTGATATAGATAAATTGCTTCTTTTTAACAGATTTGTTTATGCAATGCGCGTTTTGATTGTACAATGCTATAAACGGTACGTGTGAGTAAGTGAATGCTTTTATTAATTACAATATAAAGCAATAATGCAAGTTTGCAATACTCAAGCTATACGAAAGCGTGTAAATAATCGAATCTGAATAGCCCAAACAGTTGATGTTAAGAGTACGCAATCGGCATTTTGAGCCTTTAATATCCATTGCACCGCATTTGTGATACATGAGATCCTTATTCAAAATATGTGAAAGGTAACTTTCAATGGATTTCATAATGCTCGAAGGGTAACTCTATTTGAACCTCTATTACGGCGAAAATTTCGAAAGTAAGGGTTTGTAATTGTTTTATAAATATTCATACTGAGGTCCAGTTCAATAACATTACAAATATCAAAGGGGTATTTTTCTTTTACTTTTACACGTGTCTGATAACGTTCATACCAATTTGAAAAACATTCCCATGACCAAACTAGTCTTTTCCAGTTATGATGGCATATGTGATCTGAAATCATCATAACGTTGTCGTTGTCGTCGAAGTGGTAGTCATTAGTTTTTATCATTATCATCATCTTATATTCATCATTATTGTTATTATTATTCTCTTCCAGCCAACCATGATGAAGCTGTTTCTCGTGCTGGCCACGGCCGTGACCCTCAGTGTAGCCGAGTTCTCCCTCGACCGTTCTTATGACACCCTTGTCGACCTGGCCCGCCTCTACCGCATGCAGAACCTCAACAACTTCGACGATTACACTGGGGACGATATTGACAGCCGCAGCGGTGACTGGGCCGCCCCTTACGGGGACGCAATGTACAAGGACCCCCAGTTTGGGGGCACGCATCTCCGTGACCAGGAACACATTGAACAGAGCTCTCTGTTTGGATCTCAGTCTATAACAGGTGAGAGCCTTAGGGCCTGTGTTGAATGTTAAAGGTTATTCAGAATTATGTTAGTGTTGGTATTTTCCTGTAACGTGTAGTAGGAAGAATGCATTGAAACCACTTGGTAGTGAAGATCCTCGTAGCACAACAACAGACATGTAATAATTAAGTCACCGATTTCAACCCGGTCATATCCCAACACACAAAGTAATCATGTGTTAAATGGCGACTTACAATATAAAAAAAAGACCCGTGAAGATTCCGGGGTAGAATAGGTCTTCAGCAACCCATGCTTGCCGTAAAAGGCGACTATACTTGTCGTAAAAGCCGACTAACGGGATCGGGGGGTCAGGCTTGCTGACTTGGTTGATGCATGTCATCGATCCCAATTTCGTGGCTCGATGCTCATGATATTAATCACTGGATTGTCTGGTCCAGACTCGATTATTTACAGTCCGCCGTCATATAGCTGGAATATTGCTGAGTGCGGCGTTAAACAACCAACCAACAAACTTACAATAAAGAAATTAGCCCCCCACCCCTCAAAAAAGACTTATTGGAGGAAGAACAAAACAATCATTGTCTGATTTTTTCAAGAAAGTCCTTCTTGTAAAGTAAATGATAATTTATAATTTATTGCAGGTGGCGCAGCTGGAGGTAAAGCCAAGACGGACAAACCTCTCCCAGCCTACTGCAACCCACCTAACCCCTGCCCCATCGGATACAATGGTGAGTTCCGCCTACTCCACCCCCACCCCCTCCACCAACCCACTACAATTTACCTGATCCCTGCCCCATCGGATACAATGGTGAGTTCCGCTGCGACCCACCTAACCCCTGCACCATCAGATACAACGGCGAGTACCGCCTACTCCATCCCACCCCCACCCCACCCATTACAACTTACCTGATCCCTGCCCTATCGGATACAACGATGAGTTCCATCTACTACGCCCTCCCCACCCCACCCCCCACACACAAACTACAACCTACCTTACCCCTGCCCCGTCTGATAGAACGATGCCCTACTAAAATCCCACAATATCAAAACATTCTGTAATATATTAAATTAGGAAGAAGCAAGCAAGAAGTTGTTATTCCGATAGTTACACATCTTCCCTATCTCACCATCGTCGTGCGTGATGTTGTAGCCAGAGACAACAACTGCGTGGAGCACTTCAACAACACCGCTGATTACAACCGTGAGCTGATGGCGAAGCAGGACTGCCCGTGTGACACAGAGCACATGTTCGCCTGTCCCGAGGGTCGGGGCACCGTCAGCAGCAAATCCCAGGGTGACAGCGCCGCAATCAAGCAGGTCATGGCCGAACTCAACACACTCGGAGCCTCTGATTTAGTAAGTATAGTGTACTTGGTGATGTCACCCATCCTCTATATGTCCAGGGCAAGCATTTCGTTAAAACTACTGGATCCATTACCCTTGTTCTTGAGATCGCAAATCACCCATTCTTGATTTTCAATAACATTTTGCCGATCAATCAAACGCCGACATAAGGGACAGGGAAAGGTTAAGGGAGGTCACTCGTATTACCTAAAAACCAAAGCCGCCGCCGGTTTTAATGGACACGAAGACACCCTTTCCATCAAGAGGGATTCCTTTGCGTCGGTTTTTCAATGTCTCATTTCTCGCAAACTCGATCATAATCAATGGGTCTGGCCAACCCCACATTGAGGCTGGTGTGTAACTCGCATTATGATTGCTACATTAGACCTAGTAGCGTAGCCCATGAACTTTGCAACCAGAAATCAGGTAATTTAAGATTGCGAAAACGGGAATGGATCCGGGAGTTAGGGAGGGTTTACTGACATGCGAGGGCTGGATGTATAGAAGATGATGTCGTCCGGGCTTATATCATCCCATATCAATTTTCTTTTGTCTGTGTGAATCTCCAGTCTGAAGAGTTGCGTCTCTTCGTAGTTCCAGGATCCAGATTCTCCCTATTTATGATATAGGGTTGATCATAGGTTGACCTAGGTTGTAACGTCCATGACGTGGGTCACGTCGGACTTCCATTCCACGAGCCGTGATATCACTGCAATACTGTTCACATCCTTTAACCAACCAGCAGGTCCCAAATCCTTTAACCAACCAGCAGGTCCCAACCCTTCGAAATGGTGGCGACATTAGGAGTTAATTCAACCACCATCGAAGGTCTTTGGAATTAAATTAGTTGACAGGTAGACACATGTTTTCAATGTTTTCAATCTTATAGTAACCTGCCCTTTTCTTCCAGAACTCCTTCATGCCTGATGAGTCCAAGAGAGAGTCACTCGTGGCCAAGAAGTCGCCCGAGCTCAGCCGGAATAAAAGAGTAAGTTACGTCAGGAAAGTATGACCTTCTGTCCAAGAATGACCTAGGGTCAGAACATTTGAACCATGGGGATTTATCAATAACCACAAATAGCATGTCCAAACAGAGGCTATACTTAATGCGGCAGTGCTTCGTGAGTGTTAATGTGATGTTGCTAAGCATGAGTACTAACTAATAACACTATACTCATTAGAAGAATATAATTAGAAGGTAATTTCGAATTTAAAACGCAGAGGTTAATCCAGACAGCGGTAACCACAGAACTAATTTGTTGAAACAGTAATGTACACACAAGTTCAATTAATAATCAATACCCTATATTGAAACACAGTGATAGACTTACAATCAAACAATGGGTCAAACACGTGGTAGCAGCAGCAAGTATCTGGCCCTGTTATTAATGATAGTTCACTCACGAATGTTCAGAAATTTGTCACTTTTGCATGTCTTGAAACAAGCCTGTATCCTGATTTGGCTGGTTTGTTTGCCGCACTTAGCAATATTACAGTATTATAAATAATCGAGTCTGGACCAGACAATCCAGTGATTAATATCATGAGCATCGATCCACGCAATTGGGATCGATGACATGCATCAACTCAGTCAGCGAGCCTGACCACCCTATCCCGTTAGTCGCCTCTTACGACAAGCATAGTCGCCTTTTACGGCAAGCATAGGTTGCTGAAGACCTATTCTACCCTGGATCTTCACGGGTCGCCTGTATCCTGAAATCTGACATAAACTTGGTGTTTTCTGATAGGAATCAAATCCGCACTTGGCATGTTCATAAGACGCCCATAAGAGCCCAAAGTCCCTTCGTACAGCCACCCTTCTAGAAACCTTCTCAATCCGAAACTTCTTCAACGATTAAGCCTGTCATGGTTGTCTTAGACCATCCACAAGAAGTAACTAAATTTTACTTTTTGGCCGCTGCCGCAGGCCCTAGAAATTTTCGAGCGCTTCAATCATTTGCATTCATAATCACAACAAATATACGCACAACTACCTCCACTGCCACATAACAAAATGAATTGGTACATTCGTGTGTGTCTTCAAGATGTTGCTACATGTACAATGCGTCAGTGTAAGTTTCACATACATAGTTAAGTTGATAAATGTGAATCACATCTCAAATGTCACTTCACTAACCGTTCGTCAGTAAAATCTTTATTAAAAGATTATCATCTCTGCTTCAGTTTTCCAAAATGTAAGAAGAGATGACAAATCAACAGCCTGTTTCATACCACGTGACAGAGTCAGGCGCCGTCTTCTATTATTCTTCTATTCTTTTTCAGTCGGCTGGGGAGTCTCTTCCAAACCCATATTTCCATGGCCAGAAAATGAGAGTTGTTGCCAAAAAGTCGCCTGTCATTAAGTACAAGCACCAGTAGAAAAGGAAGCACAACTTGCTCAGTCTTAGTGCTGACTTCCGGTCCTGCGCAACAGCTCTTCTGACCTCAATGGATGCCATTTTATGTTTACATTTATTAATTAACACAGACCGGTTAGACGCAAGTGAATCAGGCTTATGGCAACAGTATTATATGTTAAAAATGCCAACACGGCCAGTGATGAATAAAATCATCAGCAGGTGTTATACCTTGTCAGAGTAGTTATCTCCCTTAGTACATTTGCTGATGTAATCTAATACTAGGGAGCACCACATTATCTAAATTAAAATGTAAATATCCAGTAACAAACAAGTAGGATACTGTCCAAAAAATGAGGATACACCATCTGTATGGCTATTAAAGAACAGTATCACAACAAAAGGTCAGCTTTTAGTAGAATTAAAAAGCTGGAATCGTGTATCCATCTATTTAACAGTTATTGAACAACGTCCCAACATTATCTATGAATCTGTGTAGCTATTCGGGTGAATCTGAATATGTTCCAAACGTTTATAGGACTCTTGTGTAGTATACCAGTCATCAATCATTTGAACACAATGCAAATTCAATTCAATTACCTTGAAAGAAATACAACATTATGGCAAAGGGATTTAGATTGAAAACCTACCACTTATTCATGGTATTCTCCATTGTTTTTTGGGTTTTTTTATGTTAAAATCCTTACAAACTCGATATCTATGTTATCGGTTATTATCTCCTTCTTTGGTCACGTGATGAAGGCTGGGCCATGTGCAATATTAAACTTATTACCCTACAAGCTGTGATTCGTGTTTGTCAAAGTGAAATTCATGTTGTTTGTATCTTTCAATACTGAATTTAAGTTGTGTTCTTTATCAATCAAATTTTAGGAAAAAAACTCGCATTGTTTGTGAATTACATTTATTAACAACCCCAACCCATGTGATAAACTTTATATTTAAAATATGCAAATTATTTATCCCGTTTTTTAGAACAACGTTATCGTTGCGTTACATACTGCAAGAACTCTAACCCTTTTACTTAAATTTTAAGTATTATATTATTGACGTTTTGTTGTTGATGAGGCAGGAAGAAACAACATATCTGCTGTTGTTATGTCGATGATGTATTGTTTAGTGAGTGCTTTAATGCAGGTTCAATGCTTCGAGCACAAATCAAACGCCTACCCGCTCTGCACACTGTGTTTTGGTTATATTCACGATCTTGCATAGATTATGTTTTATTCATGATCTTTCATAAACAACGTTGTATTCATTACCTAACACAAACTAAGCTAAATTCATGATCTATCATCAACATCGTTGAATTCATGATCTGACATAAACATTATATTATTCATGATTAGTATCAACCAGTGTGAACCGTCAGAACCTCCAAAATGTTCATCCAAATACCACAGCCCTCCTGGACCTAAAACAGGTTGAGCCACAAATCACTGGACAATCCAACAAGTGTTTATTTCTTGTCATTGAACGCTCAGCATGGAGCACTTTTGTCCCCACAGGCATTCCGTATTTTCTTTCTTCCAGATTTTGATTCCTTCATGCTATTTGTTCTTAAACCTCACGTGCGGCACAAATACTTAAACTTGTAACATAATCCCACCTGTCAACAAGATCTCATTGTGTAACATAGCGATATTTGTCAATTTGTTGTTGAAAATAAAGTATTTTCCCCAAAAATGTGCGTGCTGTTTTTACAGGGTATTTTGCTCCGTAAAGCCGACATTCAGACTCACAGTAAATTCATCAGTTGGCAATAAGAACATCGTGTCCCACATAAGTGCTCGGCCTGTAATAATTGAAGGTCAGTAGTATCGAAATTGTCATCTTTCGCTGACGATGCGATATAGCGACGCATAACATTTCCGATCTACCCTTGCTCCGATACATATGGGTGCACAATATACTTCGATATAACTCTGGTGTCCCCCGCCGTGATATTGCTGGAATATTGCTAAAAGCGGCGTAAAACCGAACTCACTCACTCACTCGATATAACGTTCTGATATACATGTAGATTGCTGAAACCCTGAACTTCAGATCGGACACTTAATAAAAGTCAATTCTACCTTCATCTTAATGAATTGTTTATGAAATGAAATATTTACCTTTTGGTATTGTCGGTGATTGATGTCCCATTAACTCGATTATACAGGTGTCGAAAATGTAATTTATCATCATTCCACTAGTTCGAGATAGCGATATTCAACTTCGAATTCACTCAACTGCATCACAAGTAAGTAATTGCATATGGATTTAAGCCCCTTTTAACAATATTTCAGCAATATCACGTCGGGGGACACAAGAAATGGGCTTCACTCACTGAACTGTGTCGGTCTTTGCCGTGACGAGACATGGCTAAAATATTGCCGACGTGACGTTAAACTTTAACTCACTCACTTCGCCGTGACGAGCCACCGCTTTAACCACTAGACCACCCCACCGCCTCCTAAATGCATAATGTGGGGTTGGGAGATTCCACAGTGGGTTAGTGACATGATAAACAGGTCAATATTTACTTTATTAACGCTTTAACCACTTTGCTACCCGACCGCCCCTATTTCACGAGGACGGGCAGACGATTAATTAATAATAGGAGCAGTGTGCGGAGTTGTTTTGACGTATATTCCCACTGACACTCCCAACAAGACGTTCCAGAGGTTTTCGGATTAAAGGGATCTGGTACAAACGATGTTAAGCTGTGTAAGCGGCCGGTACAAAATTGAGTTCGGCCAGTGATGATTGACAGCATGTCCAACGATCAACGCGGTCGGGGCACGAGGGCACACTGTCATCCGATTGTCATTCTGTTCGTTGTTATGCAAGTGCAATATTCTTTAACGCGAGGTTAAACCGCATTTTCCCTCATTCTGGCACCTAATTACAACAATCGTGTGGAAGAGAGAACCTATTCCAAACCGGCAGTCCACGGTCCGAGAAGCTGGTATAGGTGATGGTTGATCAAATGTATGGAGATAAATTAAGCGTCTCAATGGTTGGTGATTCGAATCCCGCTTCCTCGTGATAATATATCCAGGTTTGTCTGCATCATACGGTTTAGTTTCACTAAAGTGGTAAACATCTAAGATCAGCCCCAAGTCGACCCAATCAACCCCACCCCGGACACGCATACACAGGCACACACACGGGAATCGAGACAACTGGATAATCTGATGCATGATGTGCTTTAGCACAGATACAGACAGACCAGTGACAATGCTAGATCTGAAAAGTGCTTTGAGAGTCATTTAATTTATATCATTATAGGACACTTCTCGAGAATGAATAATTTGGCAATGCCTACCTAGTCTTGACATATTTATTGGTTTGTAATTAACTTCTATCAAACGACTTTCAGAGTAGTCATGTATCGACTTGTCAAATCAGCCTCTTATTAGTCTTCTGAGCAACACGAGTCCACGTGTCACCTTCATCGTCAGAAGAAGAAGAATATATATTGTACATAAACACTCACAGGGGGCAGGGTACAAAACATGAACATGACTAATGAAACATTGACATATACACAAAAGAATAAAAATATTGCTATGATAATATTGCTAGAGAGGAGATGCAGATTTTCTTTGCCGGAACATTTTGTGAATGAAATTGGAGATAATTTTTGGCAAAAGGCTCTGGTGGATTTAAAAGTATTTTTAGAGATATCATGTGCATAGCCAATATTGGTGATGAATATAGTTCCTGTCTCAGGTCTTTGTACAGAGGGCATTGTAACAGGAAGTGTTCCTCATCTTCTATTTCATCAAAATCACAGAAGGTTCATAATCTTTCTTCTGTTGGAGTGTTAAAGTATCTTCCTCTCTCAATTTGAAGGTCGTGAGCACTGAGTCTTAGCCTTGTAACTGCTTTGCGGTGTTCTAATGCGGTGGTTACTTTCAGATATGTCATGACCTGCACGTTCACAACATGCGTACACCCTCTCTACCTGTAACAAACCAAATATGTTTGCCAAACATCTGTGCGCCTCAAAAGCGTTTTGTGAGTTGATTCAACTTATCCTGGATTGACAGTAATATTCAATTGAATGCATAAATAGATAATGGATATCGACCGCACTCTTCATGCACTATGTGGTAAGGGCTAGGTATCTTGATACCAAGAAAGCGCCAATATCACTAACAAAAATAGTTTTTAAAGTTTACTTAGTTTAACTTATTGAATTTCACTGTCCACTCAGCACTAAAATGTTGGGGGACTTTCCTCTGTGTCATAACTTAGTTCTAGTTTCACAATATGGCCTATCGTCACTTACTAAATGGGTTAAGTAGTAATCAGATACATACTTTCACTGTCAGGTTCACTGCACGGGTGGCCCAGTCGTCTAAGGCGCCGCGATTAGCTGTGCAGAGTTGCGTCCCTTGGACAGAAGCCTTTGATTGCTGGTTCGAATCGCGGTTCGCCCTGATTATGTTTCTAGGTTTGTCAGCACCATACCCTTGCTCATGGGTTTCACCGAAGTGGTAAACGTCTGAGACCTGCCTGCATTACTTCGGGATTTCCTCCCACATTAAGCTGACACGCCGTGATATAATATATATATATATATTGCTTGACAACGGTATAAGGATCTCTACCGAAACGTCGCTTTTCACAGTATTAAAGAAGTTGTTATCCATACAATTGTGTCTATCTTGTCATCCGTCAACTTCTAAGTAATGCCTATCAAACAATTCACTCACTACTGTATTAGAAAAATACTATTAGTATACAGCAACAACACATTGATGAACACAAAGAATTTTAAACATCGGTGGGATTCGAACCTGCAACCTCTTGATTTGTAGTCACAACTGTCAATTTTCCTAGTCACCCTTAGCTTTTTTTATGTGTTCATTAATTTTAATATCGTACCAAGTTCGTTGTACGTCCTGGTGGTATATGTGTTATGCAAGTGCCTGTGAAACTGATTTGCACATCTTATTTCAATATATATATTATACACTTCATCCATATTTGACTTTAAGCCTGATGATATGCACATTATTAAACATGTTTAAAGATGTTTAAATTCTGTTTGGATAATGAGGATATTGTGTTTAGGTCGTATTTTTGCTTTGTGGCGATAGCTCATTTCGTGTGCTTAAGACCCTAAATGTGTTTAGACAGACACAATTTTACAGTGTGGTTTAACAAGTGAATTATACTAATTGAATAAGTGATATTTACTAATCTTCAGCATCTTCGTGAAATCAACCAGACAGGATAGAAATTCGCGATTTATTAATATTCTTGCCGCTGTTACTTATTAAGCTGAGTGCGGCGTTAAACAACAAACAAACAAACAAAAAATATTAAGCAACTAGAATTCACAAGACTTTTTTTCTCAGTGATATGTGCAGTTTCCATTTTATCGTTTGATCGACCCCCATACCTCTGATCCATAAAGCAATATTGAAATTATTACATTCACGTCAAATATTCTAAGAAATAGTTCAGGACCAAGAGTATCTACTAATGACTTCTGAATGCAAAGTATAACTTTTCTCCCTTTCAAACCTTGCACACTTTGCATGTCTTTGTATTTTTCCACAAACAAGACTATTCAAATCTTCTGGGGTTGAATAATTAAGTGTATTTAGTCAGGCAAATCAGGCATTTTTGCACAATCTTCATTTCTCTAGTAGTGGACGAAGTGCACTGTGCTTGTATACTTCCGTTGTTCAATCCTAACTTAATCCCACACACGAGTGCTTTGAGTCACAGTAACTTTCCGAAAAAACAAAAAGTGAATCGCACTTTATTCCAGGGTAGTCCATATTGATTTCGTGATCTTTGATTTCCTGTGCCCAGTCGTCTATGGCGCCGCAATTCGCCATGCAGACTTGCGTCCCTTGGGCACGCCACAAATTTATGATACTGGATCTCGACAAAGTGCTACTAAGGCCTGCACACCTTGGGCTTTCCTCCCACATTAAGCTGGCACGCCTTGATATATCTGAAACTGTTTAAAGCGGCGTTAAACCAAACTGAATACTAACTTTATACTCATATAAAACCAAGTATTATTTCATTGACAATTTTTATTCAATATTACAACTAATAGTGAATGGATATGTTTCACAGTACAAAAAAAACTGAAAAGAAATTGAAACTCATGCAACAATTCAATCTCATTAAAATCAGGACATCCCATTACGGGTCACGTCAGAACGACCCTTCACGAAATTTGACCGACCTCTGAAATGACTAACAAAAAGTCGACATCAGCCAATTTGAAAGCAGCTTCCTCGAGCTTTATGAAAACTGAACAAACGAACATTCCGGAATGTCTAATATTTGGTCGCGATTGTATGGCAGTGCTTCCCACGAACTGTGCAACGCCTCCTCGGTTCAAATGTTTATCCCATGGAATTTTGACAGACTCAGACGAACTCGCCGTAACTGTCGTTCCGTGTTAACGTTTTCGAGGTTGCATGATTAGAAAACACATTCCAACTGTCACTGTCGGATGAAAGGTCGTTCTCACACACACACACACACACACACACACACACACACACACACACACACACACACACACACACACAGAATCTTAAATGGGTGATCCCTAATAACACCCCCTGCTTATTGGTTGTAACACTCAATGGGAAGTAGTCAATGAGAAGATTATTTTAGATCTGCATTTTTAGACATAGCGACAACTATGAGTAAAAAGACAC